ATATATTCCTTTACCATGTAAACATTCTTTAGGTGAATTATAATCTTACATGCTGCACTTACAATAGAGTTAACCCCATTTACAAAGAGATAATGTCAGGTGTCCCGAGTCCCAATGTATAAATTATTGGGGATCTTCATCCCACATGTAAGAAACCTACTAATCTCCTACCTACCTACTAAATTCCCACCTACAGTATACAGAATATTTGTTCCAAAATTTATTTTTTTCCCAGTCTGAAATTGAAACCACAAATTTTCTCAAGCTGGGTGAGTTTCTGCTTTTTCTCTCAAACTTCCTTGATGAAGCTTTCATAAGAAAATAAAATTTGCCAGAATTAACCTAGCTCATCTATGAACTGGTAAAAATCTGTTGTTGCTTTTCATGTTTTATTTTATGGAAGATATGTGGTCTCTGTGTAGAGCTTATTAATACTGATGTCCAGATTGGGTTCAGGCAAGTGTAAACATTTTGAGCTGTCCAACGTTTGTCCAGACAGAAGTCACAGATCTTGGTGCATTGTGTACTTTTATGAGCTTTTCTCCATCAAGATGATATAAAGGATAAACTCTTGGTGAGCCTTGTTCTTTGTTGAAATCTTCAAATATTAGAACAATCTGAAAATGCGAAAAATGTAAGTAACATTAGGGGAAGATAAACAAACTTAAATTGGTATTACCCCATCGACAAGACAAAAATATATACATATTCCCAGGTGCATCTTAAATTCAGGATCTGTGTATCTTATAACAGTATTTTTCTTACTCTTGAATAAAAATTGTAGTTATAGGAATGTGGAACAGTGGAAATTTTGGGAATAGAAACATAATGGATCAATTAAATACTTCTGACATGTCAGTAAGATGGTCAAAAGAAAGTAAGTTACTTCGAAAATTCTTGAGTGGGTCTGGGGAAAGCTCCTTACGCACAAGAAGTGTAGACTTCAGAAATCACATGGGGATTTGTTGTCTGATTCAGATTATAGGAGAAAAACTTTGCTTGTACTTAAATATTGTACATAGGGGGTGTCCCTTCAACTGCCATGAAGGTGTTCAAGAATCTAATTTTGACTTTGAGATTAATGTAATCTGCAATTGTAAATAACTCTTTGTATGTGCTATATATTTAATTAATTGTAGACACCCTTGAGTTCCTTCAATTATTAACATTTATTATCAACCATCCAGTCTAAAGTGACCTAATCAAATAAAGGAGCATTAAGATGTCCATGTTAGTGCAAACAATAAATACCATTTATTGAAATGATTTATATTGATTTACTAGCTAAGAAATAAATAAAATGAATTGCAAAATTTCTCTATTTCTATGTGTCTTTGAACTAAGTTTTTAAGAAGCGATTGATTAACTCCACATTTAGTCTTGCTTTATTGCTTTAAGGAATGCAATATTTAAATTGTTGAGAAAATTAAAAGTGCAATTTTGCCGTTCATGAAAGAAGTTTTTAAAATTAGATTGCTAGATATTTGGATGATAATCTCTTAGTTGATAATCTTGGGATTAAAATGAAATCAGTGTTATGAGAAACAGAGAAAATCTGTATGTTTGTCTAGATAGATACACCATTTGATTTCAATTTATATAAATGATACCATTCCATTCACAAGGGCATCAAGTCAACATATGTATGTTCTATGTATATTCTTTTTAGTACCGTATCAAGATTCAAGAAGAGAAGTTATATTATAGGATTATTTGGCCTCTCCATTAAAAAATGTAGTTTCCTATTTTTCCAATTGTATGTTTTTCATTCTTCTTTCTCTTCATCAACTTAGCCTTACATCCCATTTTTCTCAGCACTAAGGGAATGAGCACTGTTTTTATTGATTTTCCACACACTATTTTTATCATGATTTAGTGATGTTTTTAAGGCTAGATGCCCTTCCTGACACCAACCACAGGGACACCCATGCACATTATACATTGATAACACACAATCGCAAAACACCCACAACTATGCCTGAGGTGGGATTCAAACCCACGATCCTTTGATCCAAGACCGCTATGGCACTACTGCTTAAGCAGTCTCGTCTACCCACATCAGCATTTGTCAAATTCTATGTAAAGGAATCCATTTTCTTATTATTTAGAGTAAAATGTTGACATTAAATTAGAAAAAAACACATATTGAAGGATATCCTATTAAACTGTATTAGAATGAAAGTGTATGTAGAAAGTTAAAGTTATTTTGAGGTTACTTGAAGGTTATTTTGAGACCTGAAAAAATAGTTTTGTTTTATGCTACCTTTCACACTAATTTTGTAGATCATATGATGCAATGAGAACAATTTCACTCTGGTTTGCATTCCAAATAAAACAAGTGCCTATGCCATGGAAAATTAAAAATATTCCGTGTACCTGATGTCAAAGTTGCAAAGTGTTAAAAGTTTTTTCAATTCAATTCATGGTGCTTGCTACATGTTAAAGATTCTTTCATATTCTCTCTGTTTTTACAACTGAATGCATATATTTGCTAAAGAACATTCCCACCGGAGAAATGGAATAATATTTTGAGGCAACACATTGTAAAGTACAAAAACTTTCAAATTACATGAAAGAAAATTAGGAACACTAATTAAAAGTGATGCATACAATTCGTGCCATTGTCTGTTTGTTGCCTCTGAAACTCTACAATCGAGTGCTTTCTCTCTTCACTGGTTTATATAATAACTGGGCACCATATTTCAAGTAATGCAGATTGTAGTACTTATTAGTCACTACTTGCGAATTATATGGAGCCACAGTGCTCAGCGGGAGGGCACTGGCTTCCCGAGCATAAGGACTTGATTTTGAATCCCGGCGTAGGTTGGGATTTTTATTTGGTGATTTCCATCAGGGCGGCTCTAAGGTCAACTCTGCCTGCTTTCCAAGTACTAGGATCTTTCCTGGGGGTAAAGGCAACCGGAGCATTGTGTTCACCACACAACCCCCTCATTGTGCCGATGGCAACAACTAAGTGGAGCCCCTACCTTCACCTCACCTATGGGTCACATTAGCCTGTATTGAACAGGGATACCTTTACCTTTACTTGCGAATCACATACATCATGTGATGTTGTCAGTATTCAAATAAAAAAATGAATTGGGGATTATTTTTGGGTTTATTTGGGTGTTTTGGATATTGGAGAATATTATTTTTTAAATTAAGTTAGTATAAAATCTGAGTTTCATAATTCTTCAAATACATTCAGTATTCCCAAGTGTATATTATGGTGCATCCAAAGATATGTGCACTTTCTTCCTGCAAGTCTTCAACGGAATTTTTAGTTTACACACGTTAATACCAATGGAATGTACAGAAACATCTAAAAATTTTGGAAAATGCTATCTTTCAGGGAAACTCAACAATGTCATGTTGTGTATTCGTAAATCGGGAGAAAAAAGTGAATGAAAAAGCAGTTTCTGTAAAACCAGTTCTAAATTCTTATAGAGATTTTTCATGTAAAAGTGTAGGAAGTTCAGAATTAAAATAGAGGTTTCTCACTTGTCTAGATTTGACTGTACATAATGTTTTTAACTAGTTTGATGTAAAAAGGGGAAGTATGAAATTATCAATTGTATGAACATAACATTGTTAAACTCACTGTAACTATTATATTGTTTTTATCAATGTTGTTATAGTTCCCTATGGAATCATGTTTTTTTTTTTTTTTTTTTTTTTTTTTTTTTTTTTTTTTTTTTTTTTTTTTTTTTTTTTATATTAGTGTATTTTTAAGTTATATAATTTAGGATTGCTTTAGTTAAATTGTTGATACAATAAAATACTTTTGATCTGGAAGATACATTATGTTCGATTGGGAAATAAGATTATTTAAAGCTGAGTGACATATTTTGTAATTGCCTTGTGTATTTAATTTTTAATGAGTATATTACTTTGTATTTATAGTAGGTGTTGAAATACAATACAAATACAATTCTTGTTTGCGCAAGTGATTCAGCTGAATATTATTATTTGGTTCATAATTGACAAAAGAGTTTATGGGAAGGAAATTACAATTATCCTCGTGCTTATAATGTCCATGACAGAAAAAAGTAGTGCCTCAAGTGAAAAAAAAAGAAATGGAAAAAAATGTTTAGAGCTAAACTGTTGCACAAGTCACATGAAGGAGGAAAGGCAGTGCTATCATCCCAACCTATACTCCTAACAAGAAAAAGAAATGTTAGATTGTCTTGCCATCATGATTTTCCTCAGAAAAGCTATTTTATGTGAAAAAAAAACTTGGTCAATTCTGTCTTTCTTACTTCTGAATGCTGTGCTAAGAATGTTTTATGGACAATCTGTTACAGGAAAACAGATGTTGGTGAGTTTGATAGTGCGTCTTAAAAAGTGTGTTGTGCATTAATTCAATCTTATTATACGTCTTGGTGATATCAAGTAAAGATGGATTAAAAATGTATGAATGCACTGAATAAAACTTAAAATTTTTATAGTCGAAGTTACGTGTAGGAAATATGTTTTATTTTCAATATATTCAGGAGTACATTTTTTAAAGTATAAAGTCAAATATTCACTCAATCTCTTTTGTAGATTGTGGAAATGTTTGAAAGACAAGATGAATGGAAACTCTTCTGTAGTGAAATTTAATAATTCTTGAGCATGAGTGTCAAGTGTGTGAACCAATGTCATATTTATTAATGTTATTAATTGGAATGTTTTATATCTGAATTTCTTTTTAGCATTTTCAGGAGTTGGATTTTTGTAGTGTTGTTCAACTTGTATTTTTTTACAGGCACAATGCAACTATGCAACTATAGTATTACATGGAGCAAATGCTTGTTTGGGTGTTGTAATAGCTGATCTGAGCTGAAAAAAGAATATAAGATATTGGGCTTGAAAATAGGTTGTCGGGAAATGTTTTTAGAGAAATGTTGTTTTGGGAGCTTATTTGATGTTTGGTGTGTGCACATATGTGTCAAGTTTCAACTTACATTGTGTTATATTATGGTATAATTTGTATATTTATGAAACTAAATCATTTTCAGATGATGTTATTGCTGTCCCACCACCTCCTAAAATATCTCGTCCGTCAACGCCTCCCCCTCCATCAATATCCAGTGGAGGTGGAGGCATTGGTGGGGGCAGTAGCAGCAGTAGTGGAGTTGGTGGGAGTGGCAGTGGTGGTGGTGGAGGAGGTGGTGAATCATTATCCATTGAAGAAACTAATAAGTTACGAGCACGTTTGGGACTTAAGCCCCTCAAAGTAGATGATATTCATACTCTCACAAGTGAAGAACTGGAGAAGAAAAAGGAGCGTGAACTCTCAGGAGCAACTATGGGGGGAAAAGACATGGGAGAATTTGTGCATAGGCCAGCTGACAACATAGCACAAAAAACACAATCAGATCGCATCCGCCAAAAGCTGCAGGAAAAGAGAGAAAGACGTGCAATTGAAGCTAAGCTCAAATCTGTTAAAACTTTGGGAGATAGTGATTCTGAAGATGATGCATCTGCTTGGGTTACGAAAAGTAGAGTGCAACAGAAAGAGCGAGAGCAGGCTGATAAGAGGGTGTGTTTTCTCTTTGAACAATTTTTCTAAAAATACCTGGAAATATTTGGGTATGTTTGTTACTAATGATCAGTTTGTTGCAGGCTAAAATGTTAGAGGAACTAGATGCTGAATTCGGCATAGGAGAGCTGGTGGAGGATGAATTGCAAACAGAGAGAAAACAGGCTTACTCTTCTAAAGATCTAAGAGGCCTTAGAGTGGAGCACGCTGTGGTATGTATAAAATCAAATTTGAAGAGAATTGTTATGCACTCTAAAAGATTTGTAAGTTAAGTTGATTTTCTTTGCTTTCCAGGATAGATTTTCGGAAGGCAAAACAGTAATTCTCACCTTAAAAGATCGTGGTGTATTAGATGAAGGAGATGATGCACTTGTAAATGTTAATATCATAGATCAAGAAAGATCTGAAAAGGTAATCAAAACTTTCACTGATATTGTCGACACAAGTTGTAGCATTTACTGTCATCATTTCTTCATGAAATTATCAATTTTTTCAGAATGTGTCTAACAAAAAATTGAAAGCTAATTTATTTGGTTACAATGTTTATGAAGATAATGACGTGGATGAGTTTGGAAATATAAAGAAAAAGGAAATCCTGAGTAAATACGATGATGAAATTGAAGGTGCAAAAGTGACAAGTTTTGCCCTTGGTAAGGACTTTTTATCATTTTAAATTGTTAATGTAAAATTGTAAAATGTGGTTTAAATGTTACAAACATTTAAATTGTAGGAGATGATGTAATCGCTGAAAGAGAACATCGAACAATGCAAGCTGTTCGTGAGAAATTGAGTAAAAAACGAATTGAATCCCTGACAACATCTTCATTGCAAATAGCCTCCGATTATTATACTTCTGAAGAAATCGATGTCAAATTCAAGAAACCAAAAAAAAAAGTATGTAGTTTTTACAATTTTTAAATACATTTTAGCAATTAATACAATAGTGTGTGTGTTTTTTATAAATGTGTCTCTTTCAGGTACGTAAAATAAGAAAAAAAGTTTTAAGAGCTGATGATTTAATACCTGAAAGTGAGGTAGCCAATGATCTGGGTTCACGGTCTCAACAGACACCACAAGAGCAGCTGATACCTGGGCCAAATGGAGAAATGGTTCGAATTAAAACAGAACCTGATGAATTTGTAATGGATGTTGACGATGTTCCAGGTGACTTGCATACTCCTTTTCATTTTTTAGTCAATATTTTCCCTCCTGGCATAACTTTTTATTATTGTCTTCATTATATTTGCAGTACAATTATTAATTGATTTGTTTTAATTTTCCTGTGATTAGTTGTGACAGAAGACTTAACGCAAACAAAAGTTGAACCAGATGATGGCGAGCTGGAGCTACATTTGGCCCTTAAAAAGGCCAGGAAGTTAAAACAACTTGAAAGTGTTGAAGTGAAGCCCAGTGTAGAGACAGTGAGTATTTCTCTTTTGAAATAAGAAAAGTGCTTCAATTGGTACAAATGGTAATACTCTTTTTTTATCAATTCTAATAGGTAGCCAAAACAATTTTGGAGAAACCTTCAGAATCCACAATGGCCGAAGGAGGGTCTATAGTTCTTAATGCAACTGCTGAGTTCTGTCGTACTTTGGGAGACATTCCTACCTACGGATTATCAGGAAACAGGGATGAAGATGAACAGGAACTATTGGTAAGTCATAGGATTTTAGCTGCAAGTAAATTCACAGCCCTAGTGCTTACTGCTGTTTTTTATCCATAAAATTGTCTGATAGAATTCATTCAAGCATTCCACATTTACTTTTGCTTCCAAGTTGAATGTGGCCAGTAATTACAAACTGCAAGATATTTTGAAAATGCACCATTGTAAACATCAGGGGAGAATATGGTTGAGCAAATTTAGAAGTGTCCGCTGTGTGTGCTTTTTATTTTTATTTTTTTATATATACGCTAGTTTAGCCGTTTTAAGTGCCTTTTTGTACATTTCTAATTCAATTTTTTTAAACCAATTGATAGCGTGTTTATATGTACGGATTGATTTGTTTGGTTTTGTGTCTGTTTTTTTCTTTCTCTGGGTGTGGGTGTGTTAAGAAATAGTTTTCAAATGTTTCATTAATTGTAACTTCTTTCAGGACTTTGAAACAGAAGTTCGCACTGCTAAGAAACCTGTAGATGATGATGGCAAACGAGGTGCATGGAATGAAGTAGAAATAGGTTAGTATGTTCTAGGAAATGATTGTTAAATTTGCATATCAGAAATCAGGAAAATGTTTCAAAAAATTCTAAAACTTTACAATTGTTGGTGTAAATAAAAGTGCAGTAAATCATCACTTATGTTTTTCAGGGGGCTGAAGGGAAAAAATGTATAAGTGAGAAAAACAGATATCTGAACTTGAATATTAAGAGCAAAATGGGAACTCAGTATTTTTACTCTACCATTTTATTAGAAAAGATATTACCTAAAAAGAGAATTCAAATTGCAGTTTAAAAAGTTACTAACAAAAGAACTGTTATCTTGGTGTGTTTCACATTGATTCACCTATAAGGTGATGATTAGGTGTTAGTCTTAAAATATCTATAAATTTATCTCTGGCGTCTTAAAATTAACTTCATATTTACATATTATTTTTTTATTTAAAATATATTTAAATTTCATTGTGAAATCAAAATTTCAAAATTATCTCAAAAACATGTCTTGGAAATTAAATTCATCCATTAAATTCTCCAGTTCCCTTCCCCCAGCAACTCTAACATTTTTCGTAGTCTTGCTGCCGGAAGTGGACCAGGAACCCGCTTTGTGCTATAACCCCCACAGGCTCATGCGGTCTTGGCCACTCAGCTACACGGAGTCAAGGTGCTATATTACATGTTTCATTAACGAGAGATCACCTCAGAGGCTGGATTTCAGTTCGGCGGGATCGTTCTGGCACATGCGAACTAGAGTAAAATTCAAGGTACTCGGTCAACTCGGTACTGGTATCCCTGCTCCTCACCCATCGCCTCTGCAAGGACATTTGAACATTATATGGTTTTAAAGGGACTTTCATTATGAACATATATGTGTGAAAAACATATAAACGTAAAACACATATTTGAAATCATTTACCATGAGAATTACAGGAATTTATCCGAGACTTGCAACAAAAAAAAACAATGTATAAATGTCAAAAATGTATACATGCGAAACGTATAAACTGAGTTTCACTGTACGTATTGTAGTTTTCAAAAGAAAACTTGTTTTGGTGAATAAATCCAGTTTCTAAATTTAGAAAAAAATTTCCTCTGAACATAGTGTTGCTAGAATGTTTTTCTAATTTTTTATAAGACTAGAGTTCAAAGATTTCCACACATGACACTGTTTGATCAAATAATTTTCATTGCTTTGACCACTACATTACATGTACTTTAACACTTGTGTAAAACAACTTTCAATTTTAATGATTAGTAAGGCAATTTTGCAAATAATTTAATTATTTGTATCGTGTACTTATCATTTAATTCCAGATGAAAAACCTGTGGATGTTTTGCCATCTGAAGTTCCTATATTGGATGTGGAACCAGATGTTGGAGAAGGTATGGCAGGAGCATTAAGGCTGGCTTTAAGTAAAGGTTATTTGGAGCGAGAAAACATGAACAAACCATCTGCATCACGGTTTGCTCATTTGCAAGCTCAGAATTATTCCATTGAAGACAAAACTCACATGTAAGTACAATATTCAGTGAAATGAAATGATGAATACTGATGTAACAAAAGTTTGTTTTATGATATTATTTTGAAATCCCCACTAATTTATCTATGGATTATATGTGAAATGATTTCACCTTAAGCAAATTTGAACTTTCAACTTCTTTTTGTTTAAAATATAAGGAAATTTGTACTGTTTTACAAAAAGTAATTTCTTGTTTTCGTGTATATAATTTTCAATATTGTTTCAATTATTTTGTGTATTTTTTCTATTATATTTTTATATACACTTGAATGAGTTACTTCTTTGGAAAATTTACTTGTATGTATGGGTAAATTGTCTGTATCATAGTAGCCCTTTTCCGGTCATGAATGTGACTGGTGAAACTGGGAGTATTTTCTATTAAAAGAATTATTAGTAGTTGGATAGGAACACAAGTTAACAATTACGAGACATTGTTGGTTTATTCTGTGTTCAGCATTACTTGTAGCTATTTGGGTCATCATTGGTATTGGTTGTTGTGTATTTTGTGTGCTCTTTGTCTTGTATTGCAATGTGCTGGGGTCAGTTAGTCCCCACCATATATAAAGCACCATCCTTCATGTAATTTAGTGGAATACCTGGATATTTCTCAGGAATCAATTTCAATTCCTTTAGGTATGAAATTCATAGCAAAAATGATTGCAAAAATATTTATAAATAAGAATTATTTACCAAACGAACAATTTTATTTTTGTGAATATTTAAGGAAGATTGGTTTAGAATTTTCATTTAAATAGTGAATCTATGGGTTAGTGCACAAACATTTTATGTCCACTCAAGGCCATTTTTGAGTTTATATCATATTCTGAGACCTGTGCTTCATATCTGACAAATGTACAAAAATTGTGTTTCCTTATATGAGGAATCAGGTTTTTTTTCTAGTAAATCGCTCCATAAATAATACCACTTTCACAAACTTCCAAGCTTGGCTTTCTGGATACTAGGAATTTTGGTCATACATTTCGTGCCTTAGCCATCAAATTAGAATTTTTGATAACCATAAATTGGTTTGACATGCTATTGGGGCATCAGGGAATGATGAAGGGAAACGGTTAAGAAAACCAAACTCGCTATTAGATGGGGTATTTTTTCCTTATTTTTTGGTTTTGTTGGTATTTCTTAGTATAATTACCGAATTGAATTATTGTTCAAATTTTTCTGCAATTGCTGAATATAATTATTTCATATTTCTTTCATTAAGATTTGAATTTCATGAAGTTATTCATCCGAAAATTCATGTTGATGTAGATGGGTATTCTGTAGAAGGTGATCTTGTAGAAGAATTGACATGCTTCAAAGTAATGAAATTCCACACAAGATTTAAAGACCACTGCAATTTCATTATTCTGCTATATTACTGTAATATGTTACACTTGTATTTTTACGTAGAATGGATGTCACAAAAATTTTACCATAATACATTCATGGGTTCACACACAGAATATGTGCTTAATAGAATAATAAATATTTATTTATTAGTTGTAAAATTATATATTTTAAATGTGATTTATTAATATTGCACAATCATCCATCATTGCTATATATGATTTGATTTTATTCAGCCTGTTAATAACCCAAAATTCTTTTAGTGATGATGACAAATTTGGTCGTCGTGAGCGATACAGTGGTCCAACTTCTGACTTCAAAGAAAAAGACAGTTACAAACCTAATGTGAAACTGGACTATATAGATGATGATGGCAGAGTCCTTAACGCAAAAGAAGCCTTCAGGTAAGAATCCAAGCATCAAAGAATGCTCTCAAAACAGAGGAATTGATTAACAGTCAAATACTAATGGTGGAGGATGGGGAAGGTATCAACAAAGGACCGGGTCATTGTTTTTCCTCATCTTTGTTTAGAAAGAGAAAGAAGAATTTCAGAAGGAATTACTGTTGTTATTATTAGAACTCTACAACTAGTTTTTCAAAAAATGTGGCCACTTGCCCACAAAATGTTATAAAAAGTAATTATTTTTTTTTATCACACCTCAGGAACTGAATATATTTTAACACAAACTTGCAGAAAATTTTCAGATAAAGCTAAAATCTTGTATCAGTACTTAAACATTTAATACTCCTTTGCAATTATATTGCACTTTGTGGGATCGGCAGTTTTCCTCCCCCCACCCCCCTGTGCAGTGTTCTCTGGTTACTGGAATGGTATTGGTATATGACTGTTAATTATTCAGTGTTATGCAATAACTAAGAAATTAATATTATGTAAAGTGTTCAATAGGATGATAAAAGAACTAACAAACTATGTGGATTTTTTCCTCGTAGGTATTTGTCTCACAAATTTCATGGCAAAGGGCCGGGAAAGAATAAAGTTGAGAAAAGGATGAAGAAAAATGAACAGGAAGGGGTAAAATATGCATATTTTATAATTGTTTTTTGGTGGAAATAAATTGCTTTCTAATATTTACTTTTGTTTCATTTATAATTGTTTGCAGTTAATGAAACAAATGAGTTCAACCGACACACCTTTGGGTACTTTGAGCCTCCTTCAGCAGAAACAGCGAGAAACCCAGTCAGCCTTTGTTGTTTTAAGTGGAAGCAAGCAAGCGTAAGTTTAAGTTAAAGATTGTATTATTAGTAGTATTATTCAACTTTTTTAAACAAATATGTGCAATACTAATGTAATTATGCATTCCTTTTTCAGGACTTCAATTTCTAAAACAAAGTTGTAGTTTCCCCAGTTCTAAAAACATTGTATCTGTCCATGATTCATCCAGCCATGAGGTGGTCTCAACATGATTGTCAAATGTAAAATTATATCAGGCTTTGATGCTTTGTAGTTACTTAAATGGAACTAAAGGAAGATTGATTAGAGTCAGTCAATAGAGAAATCTTGTGTTGTGAATTTTCTTAATCATTGTAATGGAGTTCAAGCAACTCTCTGTAAAAAGATTTTATTTTAAATGCAATAGATCAGTTTGTTTTTATGTGTAATGTCATGAGGTATAGACAATTAAATTTCTAATATTGAAATGAAATTTTTGTGTGCCTTCCTTTCTAGACGCCGCCACAAAATGAACCTGATTTTGCCGTACCTAGAAGGACTAGTCATTTTGTCAAATCCACTCTGGTAAAACTTCTTTGAAATTCATCCAAAATTGGTCCAGTTAAACTGATATGAAACTGCCTGTGAACAATGGCAAAATATTTTATTCAACCTTTTATTTTATTCTTTGATATACCCAATTTGATACAGTACTTTATTCATCAATATCGATAAACAAATTTTAAGAAATTCAATTTTTTCCCTCCAATCAAAGTTTCTCTCAAATAAAAAAAATTCCATAGAGGTTCATATACAACATGAGAATTACTTTAGTGTTGCATGTCAGCAGTAAGACAGTTTCTTTATTTTGTAATGAGAAGTACACAGTTATGACATAAATATGAATGAATTGTTGTATTCTTTACAGAAAATAAGGGAAAGGTGAAATAATAACAAAGTTTACCCCCACCTGAAAAATACACACCTCACTCTCACCCTGACCATATTTCCCGAAACAAAAGATTTTCCTGTAATGTCATTTGAAAAATGCAGGGTGGTCTAATATTCACAGATAAAGGGTAGTTGGCCGCAGTGTATGCTTGCAACATGTCTTTGCGTATCCAAAACTCTGATGTAATAAGCTGGAAAGGCAATAAATACATGTATTTATACAATCTGCAAACACATCCTTAGCACCTGCCATAGTTAATTCTGGTGATTCAGACCAATATGTTTGAATGCCCAGTAAAGAAAGCCCTCAAATGGATGACAATGTTGAATGTGAAATGCAACATGACAATTAATAAAAACTAGTGCAAAGATTTTTTCACTTCATGTACTGATTGGTGATGCTCCAGTCTTGAAAATTGTCTTTGAAATTGATCAGGCTCAATCAACCATTTGATGCCAGTATATTTCTAGTTATTGTTTGAATTGACACATTTTTTTAATTTATCTTTTTAATAATATTTTAATTTTTGTATAAGACTGAATAAAAAAACTATTTCAGAGAGTTTTGAAACTATTTGTAGATATAGTTGAGTGCTGTATAACACTAAACGCACATACTAGAGATGCAACAATGATGTCAATAGAGCTGTTTATGCCATTTTCATTGATACTACCTCTCGCCCAAGATGGCATCAATGCCCTTCTAGTATATCTACTTGTCAAAATTCTGAATAAAAGAAATGATTTCACATAGACTTGCCACCACTAGTTTGACTTGCTTTAGATTGTTTTCCAATGAATTGCTCCAGATCCTACACTTGATCTAATTTGAAATCATTCTTGATTTTTCCAAGATCCACAATAACTTGCCACAACAACCAACAATAAAAGCAGAAGCAGCTTCACTTGATGAACGTGCAGATCTTCCACTTGTTTGACATGCTGTAGATCCTCCTCTTAATTGACCTATTTGAGAATGTTCACTTGATCAACTTACTTTAGATTCTCCACTTGATCGTCGGTCGATTTATTCAACCAACAAAATTCTTCTCTTTGCTTTCTTGAGATAGTCCACTTGACGGACATGTAGTGGTTCAATCTTATCAACTTGCTCGCAGACCTTTATTTATCCGGTTTGCTTTAGAAACTTTTTCAACCAACGTGGTCAAGATCTGCTCTTCAGAAACTTTTTTTTTTACTAAATCTACCGCTTTATCGCCTTGTTCGAGAGCCATTTGATAGCTCTTCTTCCAGGGGAGCGGTAGTTGCCATGGGAGACCTGGTGGGTTCCTTACGGAATCGGAAATGCAAATGCTGAGATGGCCCCTTGTTTTGCTTCTGGACATAAATGTAACTTAAAATTAACTTTCCCGATAGCATGTCATACACAGTTTTAACTGTTTTTGACGTAAATAAATAAATGGGGTAGGGCAAAACCGAAAAAGTCTGCCGCTGGAGCGGACGCAACAACGCTCGCTTCAGCACGCTCCTCCCCGGCACCCGCGATCGTCGTGTTAAAGTATGCGTTCGATACTTACCGTCGTTTTCATGGAATATGCCCGGTAAACTTCCCGAAGGGAGGCAGCCCTTGCTCTGCTCTTCGAGCCGTCTGCGCCCACGCCCGCTACCCCGCAACTGCTGAGACACATCCCTACAGTATCTGGTCATCCCACGCAGACTCCGATGGATGACGCCAGCCAGACGGCGACGCTGCTCGCCACCCTACAGCGTCCGCTGTAGGCACCGCCATCGCCGTATATCGAAAAAGCGTGGAACTCCGCGCAAGCTTCAGATCCTGACGTACCAATACTTGAGGGCACTCGTGGTGCACATGTTGCGTAATGTTTGCTGTAGATAACTTGAGGCCGGGCGCTCTGCAAGATGCACTTGGCGAACTCCATCTTGAAATGGCGAGTGATTCACAGATGTCGTGGATGGAAAAGAAGCGGAGGCACGGTGAGTAATGGCGGTCGCGAGGCGACGCTGGCGTTCTGGTACGGATCGTCGTGTCCGATATGTCGTCCTCGCCGCTGAAGTCTCTGATTATTGGTCCCCAAAAACTCCAGTCAATAGGGACGGGCTCCTGTGCAGGGGGAGTCGATAACTGGGATCAGGTCGTCGAAAATTGCCAAAAATTCACCTAAGTCCTAATCGTCGACTCCACCGTCCGTATCGCAGAGCTGGTCAGCTGTAGCCAGAAGTGGCGGTGAAGGCGGCTGCTGGCGCGGCCCTCCAGCACGGAGCAGGACGAGTGCGCTTATGATTGCACCGTCTGGGACTTGGCGCGCGCCCGCGCTGTTGCTGCCGAGTTGTCCGGTAGACAGAAGGTGCTGGTGGTGGTAGCAGTGGTGGCGGCGGCGGCGGCGGTTTGGAGTTTTGTTAACCGAAGAGGTCGTGCCACGCCCTTTTTCAAAGCTCCGACTATGATGCGTACGTGCTCCCGAACGAGTATTTTATCTTCTAAACGTGACGTAAAAGGCCGAAGCACTTTCAAGTATTGGCACTATACGTTCACGACGCTCCACGTTAGGATCAACGTGGCAGACTTTACCCGTATAAAGAAAATGCTTGGTTGGCCTATGGTGTTTACAAAGCATCTACATATATTGAGAAGGTTACCCGTTTGTAAACGTGTCTCAAGAAAAGTCCTCTGAGTCCCAGATCTTCTGGATCTCACTTTCCTTCAAGAAGTGCACACTGGCTCGAGTTCGATGGGGGCGATTCCTGGAACAGTTTACGTGATTACTCCTCAGTATGCGGTAAAACCTTGGCTAATGGAACACATGACACTACCTTGGTTCCCCCATCGTGCTTGTCACTCCGGTGAACCCTACGGCAACGTGTGCCTCTCACCTTCAAGCCAGCGGCGGCTCGTGGCCAACCCCAAATAGGGAAAAAAAGATTTTATTTTGTTACGAATATTCATTTTCCTTTTTATGACATTCAATATTGCAGCAATATCGATGTGTGTGCAATCATATTGAAATCAAAGAGCGCTCTCCCAGGCTGGCTGCTCTGGTGCTCTCCCAGGCTGCAGCGTTGCTTGTCTGTTAACACTGACAATTCTACGCAAACGCCGCAGCTTTCGGTCTTTAAGTGAAGGCCGTCGGCCACAGCGTTCTCTGTAGGGAGTGGTTATACCTCAAATTTTGTTTTCTCGGCACACTCTTTGACACTGTAGATCTCGATATATTGGATTCCCTAATAATTCCGAAATTGAAGGTGTGCTACTGGCTCCAACTTCCATTCCGCGTTCAAAGTCTGTTAATTCTCATCGTGCGGCCATAATCGCGTCACAAACTTTTTCACATGGATCACGTGAGTATGAATGAAAGCTGTGCCAACGCACTGGCCTTTTATACCTTTTGTTCTGTATGTAATACTTCTGCCATCTGTATGTTTGCATATTGCTATCCCATGACTTTTGTCCCTTCAGTGTACACACTGTGCACCGCAACCACCCACCGGCGTATGGGAGGGGGAGGTCTGGCCGGGTCCAACGCGACTTCCGAGGAGAATACCAATTTCCTGTCTTCTGAAACTAGCTACATTTTATGAAATTCGCTTGTTATTGAAAGTACACACAATGTCAAATCTTGACGGTATTGAATGCTTGTTTGGGGAATTCATTTTCATTTGACGTTAGGTTTGTTGATTCAAAATGCACGGTTGATGAGTCCTTGGTGTAAATTTAGCTATGGCGGCACATGGTAAATACAATGATCTTCAGATCAGAATCTGCAGTTATTCTGCAGAGTTGTGAATACCAGTGAGTGTATGTGGAATATCTTTCATTATTGCAATATATACAACGGAAGTGAAATTTTCAAATAAAATAATTGTATTTCGTTATCGCCACTAGTGACGGCAATAACCAAGATTATCAAATGAACCAGTATAAAACATGGCCAAACAGCAGTGCTTGTTGCAGTATTGGTGTGCGATAACCTTTTTTTGACACTTGGTTCGTTTTTGTTTTGAATGAACTCTATTACAGGTGTCTCAATACAGAGTTAATACAAAAACTCCGGCCACTGGAAGTGAAAACCAGAACCATCTGCGGACACATCTGACACGGATACTACGCATAAAATCATGTAAGTAAAGTTTCGATATAGACTTATATTAGTTAAGTTTTAATTAATTTAGGCCTTCACGAATTTCTAACGTTTTATTGTACATTAGTGTTCTGAATTATGGAAATTACTATCCCGTCATTCAATAAAGTTGCAACCCACAGTTTCTGTTTGCCGCTCCTGTGAGAGCGCAAGCGTATCTGGGTGGAATAGCAAAGGGCTGATCTGGAAGCTCTGCCCTCGGAAGCAGGAAGGCTTGTATCCCCGCGCCCCAGGCGACTGCTGATTTCTGACTGCTCAATTTAAAGGTCTGAGAGCGTGGTCGGTGGTGTCTGCACACCAATCATACCCTCACTTTTTTTTTATTTAAGAATTGTTGTTACAATTTGACGACACGCGTTCCTCGGCGCGTCGGGGCGCCCTCCCCATCTCTCCGCAATCTCTTGAAACAGGATTGTTTAAAAACCGAAGCGGGTGCGTTAGCGGCCTTCGAGTTATTTTGTTTGTTTTGGAGAAAAAAGTTTTGACCGAGCGTATGTGTACGTCGTGTACTTGTCACCTGCAACTGACGGGGTGGCCGCGTTGAAAAAAGACGAGGCGTCTAGATCCCTCTTTGGGGTGCGCCATCGTACGATCGTATTGCCTCCTAAATGAGAGCCCCCGCCGCTACTATATAGCAGAGACTGCGGTCGCAAGGCGTCCCCACTACCCGTCGCCCATCGCGCTTGCACTCGACACCGCTTCTTCAGGGCTGTTGTTACCTACTCCATCTCCAAGGGGTGTTGTTACTCGTCGCTTTCACAAAGGGGGGGGGGGCGCGGCCTGAAACCAGCGGCAACTCTCTTGCACATGCGGCCGTCCCCGCGTCAGCGGCCAGAGGCGGTATGATAATGTAAGTTAAGTCGTTACGATCCTAACTTATTACATTAGAGGGAAAACCTATAACTTAAGTCTTTACTGTAAAATGCAAGTAATTTTATTCACACACTGCTCTGTTCTATTCCACTATTCTCGTCACAACTAGGATCTTTCCAATTTTCAATTTTGACCATTAATTGCTCTGAGTTAATTTAGTTTTAATTACTGGAAAAACTCAAAATGTCTTTACTACACAATAGTGTGGGCTTTTGAATTTCTTGTCTTATTTACCACGATAGTGTTTGCTAGACTTACTGAAAGACTGAGTGCACCTACATCTTGCTTTCAAAATTGCATTGAAAAGAGGTTGCCAATACCTAATTTTTACAAAATACCATGAGGACTGCCACTTTTTTCTTTGTTTTGAAGGTCACGTGCTAAAAAGTTTATTAATATCAGAATAAAATAAATTTTTTTTTTTTCAAAAACTTCTTCCTATATATTAAAAATTATGGAAAAAAAAAAATGTTAAATGTGCCCAACAAATTAATCTTTCAGAGAAAACTTACAAAAATTGGAAAAAGACTAAATAAATTTTGATGAGTTCATGCAAATTTGTAAAACAATTGGTTTTTTTTGTTTGTTTGTTTTTTTTAATTTTTTTTTTAATCACGGGTTAATTTTTAAAATCACATAGACCCTTCAATATTAATATAAATTTCTATCAAATTTAAAATAATCTTGACATTAACTAGCAGATCTAATAGAAAAATAAATATATAAAATTCATATTGTTAAAAAGTGGAAAAAAGCAGGGTCATTGCAGAAATATTTCTAAAAGTTTTCTTTTACCTACCCATCTTGCACAGAACAAAAAGAACAGATATACATCGCACATTGTTTATTAAAAGATATAAAATACAACTTGTAATATCACAGAGCAATTGTATCTCACGACTAGTACAGTAATTACATAGGTTATTTATTTACTAAAAATCCTTACGTTAAACACTTTTCCTGTCAAATATAACAGGAGCATTTCTGGAAGTAAATTTCTTTCCATCTACAACCAAATATAACCACTTAAATATGTACAATGCATTTTTCAACAATGAAAACTTTTGGTACATTTGATAATGCTCATCCTATGGCACTTTCTGTATATACAGTTGTATAATATGGCAATAACAGCTGGAAACACTAGTTACAAGAACTGCATTTTCTTGCAGTTTTATTTCCATAAACAAATTGAAGAAACAGAATTCAATATCTACAGAAAAGGATCTTGAAAATGTAGAAATAATTCAACCTAAGTTTTTAACTATATCTGCAACAAAACAAGTTTGCTAAAAGCAGAGACTATGTTCCTTAAAAACTCTGTCTACAGAGGGTTATATTGCAGTTGCATTATTTTTTTCTTACTTGCAACTTTATGTACAATTTGGGAAACATATCAAACCTCGAATCAAATGTGGCATTTCTCACATTTTACTGAGCAACTGCATATTCAGGAACTATTGTAATGCTAGAGCTTGCTAGTGGGCTCATTCCAGCCGCTGAGAAACTGCTGTTCCACAATCCAGCATGCATCACTAAAAATTAATCTGTCATGAAATTAATTTATCTTAGAACCTTGCTGAGTTTCTGTTATAAACAATTCTTCAATATAAATAATAGTATGTACATCTGGGTGCCAAGTAGATATCTCAGCATCTCATAATAGTTTCAAGGTAAGCGTTTTTTTTTTGTTTGTTTTTTTATCCTTAATATATCCTCGAAATAGTTCCTATTGACTTCTATAATGAAGCTATTAACAACTGATATCTACCGATCCATTTCAAAATTTCATTTCAGATCTTCATTAACCTTATAACTCACATTGAAATGTGTGATTGTTAGGTCTTTCATTGATATTAGAATTCAGCATGAATATCTTGATGAGAATCCACAATCCTCCAGTTTGCTAGAAAAAGTAAAAAGTTTGAACCCGAGCTTCAGCCTGCTACAAACCTTGTTTGTGAATGAGAATAAAGCCTTCCTCCACACTAGGTGAATTGAATCCATTTTTGAAAATGGCAATAGTCCTTCCTGAAATAAAAAAAAAAATGTTTGTAAACAAAACCTCATGACATAAGACTATATTAATTTGCAAATTAGTATTTCCTTGCACCTGTCCATGTTTGCTCCTTGCTCAAGACTACAGCTTTACAATCTGGGTCTTTAGCACATAACTCTGCAGCTTCTTCTGCATTGAACACTGATATCACACAACTCACAGCTGATATTGAGTTGCGACAATGATAATCAAACATTCCAGGTAAATCAGCATTACTTATTCGTTTGAAACCTGCTTCAACAAAGCACAATATTAGTTTCCAGCATATAGTGGGGAAGATAGTCCAGTTGGTTACATGACCCTTGATAGTTTGAATAATGATAACAGATAGTTCTACAAAAACAGTTCAAGTAAGCAAATCGCTAAGTAGTTTTTATAATGAATAATTACTGAAAGCTATATTTTTGAACATGAATCAATCGGGGAGGGGGGCTGAAGCCCATGAGTCACCCACACCCCACCATGCCACTCCTTGAGACCATTGATATTTCATAAATATAGTACCTAGTTCATCCAGGCCTTCGCTTGTGTTCATGTATTCACCAGATTTATAAAGGTCAACAATTTGTTGTGTTTTCTGCAATATATATGGTACTTCCTCATAAAGAGAAACTTTTTTCTTGAATTCATATGTGTCTATTAAGTTTTGTATATGTGGTTTGAGGTTCTCTGGAGCTCCTATGGGAAGCAATAACTTGACAAAATGTTGCCCAGCATGCCATACGTTTGTTCTGGAATTATGACCCACACAGCGAAAATTGATGCAAGAAGGAAATCTGCAACAATACATACGCATCTTAAATGTAAATTTTAATAAAAATCAAAGAAAAATATCAGATAAGCACAGATATAATTTATACCTTGTGTCACCGTCTTCTTTTGTTGTATTTCTGTTCAGAGCAAAATTTGTTATATTTTTGCAAATATCATCATTGATACATTCAGGGTCTCCTATGCCCACATCATCCAAGTCTGTCACTTTCAGTACACCATTGACAATAACAAATTGTTCCCGTCGAAAGTCATTCATTGATAATGGACCCAATGGAGAGTGAGCAAAATGATTCAAAATTTGAGCAATTCCCAACACAAGCTGAAATCCAAATTGAAGCCAAACATTATGAGTAGGTATTTGCAAATTTAAATGCTATGCTAAAAAATGGTTCTTACTCGTAGTCTATCTTCCCATGAAATCTGCAGCAAGCGCACAGTGTCAATTGGCTCACCCAGCTCAGTAACTAATGTTGCTGTACCATCAAGTTCTGGAATGCAAAACCCCAAAATCTACGACAAAAAACAAACATAATTAATTTATTTTTAAGAATTATTGATCCATAATATTTGTTTAATGCTTTTCTGTAAAGAAACTCAACAGCCCTATCCAAAGCTTTTCCCCTCCCGTCATCGTTGTTGCGTTTCCTGAACCCTTTTTGGGCGATGAGCGCTTGCATGGAGTAAACTTCCTTTACTATCCCCTGACAAGTCTCGTTACGTCATAGTCGGTGCCTTTTATCCTTTCGGCCAGGGACTCGACGCCGTTAGGGCTGGACGGCCGCCCATCCTGGACCCCGCAAGTCGCGAATTCGCTTAACCTCAGTGATTTCACGGACGGTAAACGACGCCGGCTGAGCGTCGAGAAATAGACAAGAACATTCCACAAAATAAACTTAGAGCATTAAACTCCTATGAAACATTGTTAATGTTATCGCTAATGTCAGTGTTATATTTTCTTTTCTGTTACTCAGATTCATGGTTCAAATTAAAACTGACATTTTCCTACAGTTTATGTATGTTGGTGAAGGCTATACATTATTAGCAGATCCTATTATGGGTAAGTTATGAGTAGTTCTTTTCACTTGCTTTACTATTTTTTCAATGACAATACCTCACTGGCAGATAAAGGTGTCCAAAGACAGCACCCGTCCTTCCTTGTGCATTGTTTTGTGAAAAATGCTTAGATATTTAGTTTTCATCATGAGTTCATTTGTGTTAATGCCCTCGTCACATTTCAGTGAATGAGGTATGTGAATTGTACAGAGTTTAACAAGTTGAAAGGCTCATCACTATGTATACTTTAAAATTAGCTTATTATCACTGTGGATACATTGAGCTATTTGGTGAACAGTCCTCCCTTATCATGGAAGACATCTCAATATGCATATATTTATTTTATTTTTTGCGAAAATTGCAATTCATTACTCTATGTCAATACCAAAAAAATTGATAGATTATGTCAAATTCAGAATTTGTACATTAAAAAAGGGCATTAGTACAAATGTATATTAATTAAAAATGTACAATAACTTTATATGATAATATAATACACTTATCTTTGCATTTCACACTGAAAGAAGTGCCCATCTACAAGAGAAAAATACATCTCTTGCAACAGGGGTCTATTATAATAGCTATTGAGTTTCACAACATACCTTTACTACATTTTCATGAGCAAGATCTGTCAGCAAAACAACTTCCTTAAGAATCTTGGCATCAACTCTTTCAAAGCATGTTTTGGAGGAGCCAATATCTTTCTGACATTCTTGAACATCACGCCCATTATATCTTGCTGTTTTGACTGCAACTTGTTTACCTCGGAATGTCCCCTTATACACAATTTTTGTCCATCCAGCAGCAACAAATTCTGTATCAGATATTTCTTGTAAAGTTGAACAATTAACAAGTGTAGAATAGCTGTGTGGCCAATAAAAATCAAAAGTAGATCTTAAAAGTAGGTTGATGCCTTCTTTTTCTTCTTCTTCTTCTTCAATGGGTCTTTTGCTACTTTTTTGTGCATTATTAGGTCTTTGGGTAAAAGCACCCAATGAAGAGAAATATTCTGAAGATCTACTGTTTAATTTATCTTCGGAAAACTGATAGTTGCCAGGAAGGATTAAAACACCATTTCTACTATTTCTTAATAAGGGTCCAAAAAGAATAATGCCAGCTATTACGAACAAACTTAGGTAAACAGTTATAAAAAGACACAAGCCAGAGCATCTGGACAAATTGTTAAATGGCATTTGCAAGAGACGCATATCAAAAGAATATGCAAGTAGGCAAAATAATGATCTCAAAGTAATGTCTGAAAAGATAAATCATATTTTCACATCTCTGCTATGGATCAACTGCCAAACTGACAGAGAGCACAGATTCAATGTCGGCTCTACTATCATTTTCGCCTTCTATATGAGGCAATGAGATAGGTGTTCTCGAGATAAACTATTTCGCACAATAATTTTGAACGAGAATTAATAAACTTCACATACACATCTTCATATTTTTCTGCACAAAAACGTCTGGAAACGCGTAGTCCAGCATGAATAAGAGAATTCTCGAATCATACATGACATGAAAAGAACTAATCAGGTGTATCCATGCTTATATTACAAAGTTTTCCAAAAATTATTTTCTCTGTACGACAATTTAGGTTAATCATTTCAAATAAGAAAGACTCGTTCATTCATGACTTCCCATATCTTTACTCCATTCTAGAACTCGCGACATCTTCAAATGTCAGACTCGATGGTCCAGTCAAGGAGAGCCAGTCACAGCTGGTATAATAACAGCTCTGGCTCTTACTTTCTTGGTAACATCTTTGTTGATGATGTTGACAGAAACTGTCAACCAGAGGACATATGGATAACCGGCAAAGAACTTGCAGTGACAGTTGATACTCGCTAACCGCTACAACCAAAGATATTAGAGTGTTTGTGCACGCCAAAACGTTAGCACTATCGATCTTCTACGCATGCGCAGGTGCATTAAAGTGATGCAAAACTTTAACTACGCATGCGCAGAAGATGAATAGTGCTTTCACATCCGAGAGTGCACAAACTTCCCATTGACACGCGTACACATATATGACCAACGTCACCTACGTGTGCCTAAGAAAATGTGTTTATAAGATTATATAAAGTATATAGCTTAGATACGTCAAATAATGAAGTATGAGGTTGATATCCATTGGCCGAAAAAATGTCTTAAATAATTCTCCCGTTGACCGCGTGTGGCGCTGAATGTAAGTGAGTCCGATTAGTTGCGGACGCTTTTCATTTTAACCCCCACCTCCAGAATTGAGCAATATTTCCTTCTTACGGACCAGGGCCCTATAACTCCCATATAACGTGGTGGGGACCATTACAGTGGCGGGCTCTAGAGCATCACCTTCTTACCCGAACTAAAATGCGAACTACCACCAACGTTCTTTAAAACGTGCGTGGGTTCTCGGGTCGCAAACACACGCGCTTGATACAAAAGATCGCGCCGCTGTTCGCGCTACCTTTCCTTTCATGCGTGTAATATTATGAATAAATGCCTTTTTAGAAGATAAACACATAATATTTAACTTTCTTTTGTGATTTATTTCAGAAATCGCTCATAACAAAGTGTATTCGTTTCTCTTGACCAATTTTTATGTGCGAAAGTTGGCGAGCGCTTACTAGCAGCTGTATCGGCGACACTAGCACGTCCATAGTATATAGTATATATACAATTATATATACAACATAATATATAGTCTATTACAAATGTTAGGGATTATTACTCGCGCAACTTTTCTTGAACGATGACCTTGATCCCCCTCCCTTGTGCAATAAACAGTTGAAGGCAAAAAGCTCGCAGCGAGCACTGATGACAACCTTCCAAGCATTAAAACTTCTCGTTGGCGTGAAACAGAAGCTAGTCAAATCAGTTGCTTTCATAGCGCAGAATCCCTGTTCAGATTTATTGTCAATTATCGAAATAAATGGCTGAGTCAGGTCCAGTCCTTCTAGGAGTCACCTAAAACTCCCGAAAAAGTTAAGCACAAGAGCAGTTTAACTTTCATTTCACAGACGTTGGCATTACTTAAAAATACTCTAGTGGCCGACTTTGTAACTAATACCCCCACTCCACCCGAAATCGTCAATCCATCGTTCAAGAAAAGTTGCCCGAGTAACCTCTAGCAACCTCTAGCTTTGCCCCCAAATTTGCATTGGAGAGTTGCCGGACCCTGTTACGGACTTCGTGGAATAACATGGCAAATGCCCACCTAATAAAAGGAGAGAAAATACCTACCCTAACCCGACCAGAGCTACCCGTGTCCACCCTGGTATTATTTTTAATACTATCAATGTTCTTTCATGAGAATATCCTTGAGCTGTTATACCTTCGAATATATTATACCGAATATATTATATAATATATTATATATTCGAATATATTATATAATATACCGGCCTCCTCATGTGAAGACATGTGATAACATTTTGAAAATTTAGAATATATATTCAGATAGGATATTACGGCACAACCCAATTTCTCTAATCCAAAACAGCCAAAACATTGAGGATAACCACATTTAACGTCGCGGGTTGCAACTTCTAATATTCTGGTGTGCACTAGAAAATAGTTTGGTTAGTTCTTGCCTTGAGCTTAAGACATCTTTTCAATCCTGCGGAGGTTGAGCAGAATCTGAGAAGTGCGGAGAAGCGTATTGCTTAACCGTGTTTTACATGTGTGTGATACTTGTCGGCATGTGTGTATAAAGTTAGAGCCATCGTATTACTTGAAATGATCCGATATTTATGTTCCTCGTGTGGACTGAGAAAGTTTGTTTGCAGTTCTCAACGTTTGCTGTTGATTAAAAGCTCCAGATTTCGAATAGTTCCAATCGAGCTGTATCCATACCGTTGGCCCAGAAATTGTTTTACACGTGACTTTAGTACTTGTAATGTTGATGTTGAATCTTCGAAGAAAATAGCTGGTAAACTTGGCATAGAAGATGAACTCTTTATTGATTCACTGAAGAACTGTCCAGATTTGCTCCATGTTTCATCAAATAAATGGGAAAGCTGTTTTCGTGAACTAATGAATAATGGATTATCTGCTGAAGAGTCGTTATATGTAATAACCAAGTATCCACCTTTGTTGCTAACTAATGTTAAAGACTTTTCATCTGGTTTCAAGTATTGGAGAGGTGTAGAATTAGGTGAGAAGAATGTTTTATCATTGTTGAAAACTTGCCCCCAGTTTCTCCTTGTGCGTGGACAACAAATATCACTTAGAGTTGCACACCTGAAAACAGTAGGCTCTGATAAAGCTGTTGTGAAATTATTGAAAAATGCTCCACGTTTAATGTTTGACAACTGGAATGATGTGTTGGCAAAACTGTCTTTTTTAATAGACGAAATGAGAATTGAAAGAAAACAAGTGTTAAAGTCTTATGCTTTGAATCGAGACCTTCTGTTCTTGAAGAGCAGGTTTGTTTTCTTGGAGAGGTGTGGTAAATATGTGAAACCAAAATTAGATCCAGATCCTAATATTCGAAGTAAAAATCCACCATTAAAAAGCATTGTGGAGGAAGATGATGAGACATTTAGCACTCAGATAGCAGGTGTTACTTTAGAAGAATACGAAGTATTTCAAGAATTGTATTCTATGGAAGTAGCAGAATCTGAAATGGATTCGGACTCTGAATAGCTACATTTCTCTGAAATGTGAAAACAAATTGTAATTTATTAATGTATTTTCCGATGCAATTTAAATCTGAAGATGTGCAATGTTTGTTGTGAACTTTCAAATGTCCTAATTTGATTATTTGTTCCTATATTGTATGTATGTGTAAATTGATTAAACTTTAAACTTTTTTCCAGGGATATGAAATTGACATTGGGAGGGAATTTTTGAATTTAAAAAACAAACTTAAATGTACAAACAGGTTATCAAGTTAATACATATGACTAAAAACTATTTTGAATAATTATTTATATCCAAAGTTAATTAATGTTATGCCTTGCTACTTCATGTGTTTTTATAATGCGACTACTCTTCTCCTGGCAATAAGACTATAATTTTTAGGAAGTTCATACCTCTGTTTTCAGTCACAGCTTTGGAACTTATTTATTAGTGCACAATATTGCAACAAGTGGCAGTACTGGGAATGCTTTAACAGAAAGTCATCGGGGAGTTGTTAAAGAACTTTCAGCATATCATTTTTGTCCATATGAACTTTCATATGATTATTTAATATATTTCATAACTATCCATCTCTGCATATGTACAAAGGTTGTTTCTCTTATGAAAAGGTGGTGGGCAAGCAAAAAAGATGGTTGGAAAGTAACAGTTCTTAAAAGAAAGATCAAAGTAAATTTTATAAAAGAGGCTTCCAAGAATTCCATTTGAATTTGAAGTCAACTCCAAATTAAGTCTAAATATTTCTTCCTGAAATATATAAGACTGTGTAAATTATTAATTTTCAAAAGTCTGTTCTACCTTTTTTCATCAATGAATACAGATTGTGAAGGACAATGTATTTTCATGAATCCTCATCCACAGTTATTATTTCTACTTTTCTGTAATCTAGACATTATTGTCTAAAAATTATTAGAAGTCCGGTTGTGGGGAAGAAATAATGAAGTTAGGTTTGCCCTTGTGTTCATTGTTCATTACTCTTTGCTGTAGTAAGTCAGAGAGTTGCTGTTTTTTGTGCAAGTTTCTAAGTGGGATTATTCACTTCACGTAATTTACAGAAATAAGATTCTTCAGGGCTATGGAGTTTTTTCTTTCACTCATTTCACAGTTGAAACCATGAATCACAAATAGAATGTCTCCTTAGTGATCAGGTATGCTAGACTGGAATGTCTTGTTATTCCAGGGCTGAGTGCGGCTACTAGAAATTGTTCTTCGACTTTTTCGATTGTTTTTGGGTCACAGATTTTTTGTTCGTCCCAAATCATATTTTGTACGTGATGATAAGTGAAATTGTTGTTTGAAATAGATTTTACTGTAGTTAGAGACATTTTTGTGATGTTATTGATGCTGAAAAATGCTTTTGTGTTTGCTGATGGATTTAAGTGTAGTTTGTAGTATCTTGACCTAGATATTTAAATTTACTTCCATACCTTGGAAATATCATAAGTGTATATACCCAAACTCAGGAAGACATAGAAAACAAACTCAATAACTAGAATAGAATATGTGGATCAATTAAGAGACATGGACCCAGAAACAACACTGAAACTCTACAATATGGCTGTTAAACCTAGATTCATATATGGGTCTGAAAATAGGAAACCAAATGTTTAGTTGAAGAGATAGGACGTGCTCAAAGATGGAAAGATCATTTTCAGTGATAGAACATCAAAAAATTTTCAAAATTAATCTGGAAGTAGAAACTAAGAGGGATCAGAGATAGAGGCACACCAGTAAAGAGGTAGCAACAACTGGAACACTTGGAATAGTAATAATCTACCAAGAATACTGTAATAAACCAATAGAAACAGGCTGTAAAGACTAATTTTCGGTCAGGTTACGATTGTGGTGGTTTGGTAGTTATAATGATGATGATGCATTTAAATTTAGATACTATCTGCAGGGGTTTATAGTTAGTAAATCATCTGGTGCGAATCTTCATCCTTTTTAAAAAATCATTTACACTGTTCTTTTGTTGTTTATATCAAGCGACTTTCAGCGGCCCATTGCTTTAATTTCAGCTATGTGCTTTGCAGATCTGTCTTGTTCCTGTTTCTGAGACCCATATCATCTGCATATAGGACTAGTACTGTATCTTGCAATTGCTTTTAAGATGTCGGTGATGTCTAACATCATGATATTGAAAAGCAGAGGGCTGATTGGATCTTCATGGAGTTCCCCCATTTGTCTGCTCAATGGGGCTTGATGTAGTGATTCCATCTTTGTTTTCAATCACATGTAAAGTCTCCCTGTTGAAAGCTTTTTTGTAATTTACAAAGATTGCATAATATTTTCCCTTTCGCTTGCTTAGTGCTGTTTCTATTTCACTCATCCATAGTTTAATCTTCCTGTGTTTGTTATAATACGGCTGGGATTTTCTTGGCTGCTTTTCAATTTCATGCATTACCATAACCATTGCTTTGTTCACTTGCCCTTGTGCTGTACTTTTCTTCACGTTCCTTATTATATTTTCTTTGTGACCATTTAGTCTATTTTTCTTGATGTGTTGCCCAGTTTTTGTTTTCTTTCATATGATTGTGTCTTTGATAAGCCAAAGTTGTCTCTACTGGTAGAGGTTTTCTTATCAGCGTCTCTGTCAGTGTCCAAAATACTTTTGTTCATGTATCTTTACTCTTCCTGTATAGAAGATCACATATACGGTTCTTGATCCATTGTATGCAAAGTATGTCTTCAGTCTTTCTTGATCATTAATGTAAGTAAAGCCTTTTCTTATTGTGTCCAATATTAGTGTTGTTTTTGTTTGTGACTTGTTAATCCTACAGTCTCTTGTTAGAATCACTATTTCTTTTTCTGTCATCTTTAGATATTGCTTTTTAAATATATATTGTGTCTTCTGTTAAACTCCGTGGTGGGATATATAATCCTATAAAATTGTTTATATGATTTGGGGGAGAAATAAGTAGACACATTAGGTATATTAGAAAGTACTTATTTTTGGAATGTAAAAGCTTCAACAGCTATCACCGTATTTTTTCTTTGAAAGGGAGACTAGAGTCTTGGGAACCCCATTTAAACTCATGTTAATCTTCATATCTTGGAACATGTTTATAAAAAAAATATGCATAGGAATCTTTCAATTGTGCTTCTGTTACAGAAGCATTTATCTTTACTCTAGTGTTGTTGTTATTAATGTAGCATTTATGAACAATAAGTTGGTATTAATTGATAAAATAATGATTTAGTTGGGTTGTTTATTATAAATTTTCTTTAATTTTTGTGTAATAATGTCCTTAGGAAGGTATCTAAACTATGAAAATATTTGTAGGTGCATCATTTTGTTTACAAAGACCTATTTAGTGAGTGATAAAAATTGCCTCTAGAACCGTTTGGGCTTCTTTTTTATAGACGTTGTTGGGTGTTTGCTTTCATAATTTTTGTGTCATCTGCAAATATAACTATTTTGTTGTTTTGTAAATTCATGGGCACTTCGTTGATGTATAAAAGAAATAGTATAGGTTCTAGGATTGATCCTTGTGACACTCCATAATTTATCATTCTAGGTTGAGAAAAAGGGTCGAAATCTTTTTATATCTAATATGCTTGATTGTGATTAATTGACAATGTTTAGAAAGGAAAATTTAACCCGTTGATATGCATTGCTTCGAATTCTCAGTTTCAAGTTTTGATAATAGTTTGTGAGGGTGAATAATTTCGAATGCTTTTGAGCTGTCTGTAGAACTGCCATTTCTGAACCCACTTTGGGCCTCTTGTCAAAATATTTTAATTGAGAAAACTTAAGAGTCTCATTGATAAGTTCTGAATTTGGTACAAGAGAATCCTCGTTTGTAAAGGAAAGGTGAGCTCCAACACAATAGCTACTCGCATTTATATACAGACATCGATAGGAAAACCAAAGAAAAAGCTAGAAACCATTGTGGAAAGATCTTTTCATCGTGATAGAAACGAATTGACAATCAATAAAGCTTCAATACATTGAATATCTGATTGGTTCAGGCGAAACTTACGTTCCAGCTTACAATCATTGCGAATGCTTGCTTTTACGTGTAAATTTTACTGCCAAGTTTACGACATTACAATACATTTAAGTTTGCATTGTGAATGAAGGTCTAACACCTCCAAACATCCTCTCCGAGTCAGACGGCCTTTGATACCTTCTGCCATACGTCTAGCGCCTCCGAGCGCATGAAACCTATTTGTCCTTCTGTCCGATATTCATCTGCACACGTCTCCTCTCCCCCTCGTCACGTGTTGTCTCGTTAGTCTGATTGCCCTTCGTCGTCTCGTGTTGATTTAGTCACGTGCAAGGTGAATCCCGGAATTTGGTCCATGCACTCCTCAAAATGTCTTGCGTCATACACGTCTTTTCGTATGATTCCCCCTCTCGTTCATATCATACAGGGGAATTCACAGTTCCATCTGTCAATGTACGAGGAATCTCCCATTTGCTTATCAATGTTCCCGACAGAAGACCATGGGCGTTTGCCAAAATAGTGTCGCGGTCGATCACTACATGACCGCGCTCAAAGAGTCGCCAATCAACCGAACTTTGGTTGATACGTCACAATAGCTGCAATCATTTGTGACTATTTGATTTAAGGAGTTATTTGATCAATGGCGGTACATTTTTTTAGATATTCTGGTATGTTAATTTATAGTAATTTGTAAGTTGAAAGAGTTAATTAAATTGTTAATAGTTCTTCATCATTTGATTTCAACGGACAATTTGTATTGAAATTACCACATAATGTAATTTTATGGTTTCTGCGTTGTTTACCAAGAACAATTTAAAGATTTTTTAGGAAACATTGGTGTTTCCTGTTGGACTGTGGTACATACATAAAATCCAGGTTCTTTCTTTTGGTAAAATCTACGATACATATTTTAAAGTCTTTATCTTTTAAAGGAGACGAGTATTCGGGTATTGACACATACTGAATATTATTTTTAGTGATGGTTGTTGCTTAGGTTGTTCGGTCACACAACTCCCAGCTAATCGAATGTTCTCATGTCTTAAAAATATACATTTTCCTTTTAATGTCATTCAATATTCAAGACATTCCTCCAATATCGATGTATATGAAATAATTTTGAAACCAAAGAGCGTCCAACTGCCACTCTCTCCGGTGCCTGGTGCCTTTGCCGTATATTACACCTTACTCTTGGCTGAGTAACTGTGTTTATAATAATAATAATAATTATTATTATTATTTCTGGCGAGGCTCAGGTCGGAAGGCCTGCTCTTCCTCCTAACCATTTAAATATATACATAATTACAATTGTTTACTGCATTTACTCTTTGGCCCTTCGATGTAACACGGCAAGCATAAGCCTTTTTGGTAGGGCAACCAATAGGGTGGCGCTGTCTAGCGCAGAGCGGCGACCGAAGGAGTCTCGGGGAAATGTCATTATTCTGTCTTCGACTAGCTGCAACGTAATTTTATGAATTTCGCTTGTTATTGAAAGTACACAAGTTCAGTGAATTATAGTCGGCATTTAATGAATTATTTATTATGTTTAGAGAATTTGTTTTTATTTAATATTGATATATTGATTTAAAACGTACCCTTGAATTATCTTTGTAAAGTTGGCTGCTCTAAAAGGATGTCCCTTTCTCGGTAGATAATATTTCCGTTTGCAGAAGCCTGAATGACCCTAACGTAGACATACCATTTAACACTAATATTTATAATACGCAATTTCGAACGTGACTTTTCCACAAAAATTGAAGCATACAATTACTTCCCCAATTCTAAAATCATATAAAAAGCGAGTCTAGTAGAAAATTGTCCATTCTATTTAATCACCACGCTTTCAAAGTTCCTGGAAACTACTCTTCCATTGTGAAAGAAATTGTGATTTTTGCCCAACCATCATATTAGGCAGATATAATAAAACACTGTTATCGGAAAAGGGTAAAGTTGAAAGAATAATATTTGTCTAGAAAATATAATTTATTCGATTTCGTTGTAGTTTTTATTGTTTTGTTCTAGTCACACTATAGTTCATTTTTGTTATACGTCAATCACTTTCCTTGTGAATGTAAACGTGTTTTTTTTTTAAATTAGTTTTGCTCGATTTTTCTCATGGGCTGAACATCCTTTTTTCTATGCACCATCTTCCTTCAAATTTATGTTTATGATAAATAAGCCAATCATTTTATTATTCATATTCGTAAAAGAATAAGAAAATACTTTATTGGATCATAATGAATTTCACATATTTATATAATTAATTATTAAATATGTCTACAAACATATGTCTATAAAGCACATGTATAAATTTGGATAAATTTGTGGTAACGTTTAAGAAATAGTGTATCTGCATGTAAACGATTACTCTATTTGATATAAATGGCACGCAAACTAAACAGTGTGTTCTTTTTTCTCCTTGGAAAATGTTATTTCTTATATGACGTGGGTCTTGAGGGTCCAATGGGGTGAAAAGTAGAGCCGCGTGACGTCAGAGTTCCTGGTTCGCTGGCACAACTCGGGCTCAACTTCACGACAAGAGGGCAAGGCCGTTCCTCCGCCTCTTCGCACGGAGCAGTTAATCACAAAATGGCGGATCCAGAGCTGAGGCTGCAGCCTCGGATTAGAGGAAGGTGGCGACGTGGCGGCCGCACTCATGTCGTGAAGGCACCTGCACAATACAGACATGGGATGGCAAATAATTAACAAATATACGCAATAATAGTCTATGACAAAAATTTCAAAAGTGAAACCGAAAGATTTAATTTAAAAAACCGTAATTAATATATTTTAATAACTGAAAGAGTCTTCGATCAAGAACGTTGCAAATGTCTCTTGAGAGACTTTTACCTAGAGAGAGAAAAAGAAAGAAAGAGAGAGAGAGAGGGAGAGAGAGAGCGAGAGAGAGAGAGAGAGAGAGAGAGAGAGAGTGTTTGGTAAGCGCCTCTCTACTGAGTGACAGAAAGACTGTGTTTAATTATATCCCAAATTTAATTTGCACTACACTTACGAGATAATGACCAGAGAAGTGGATGCGCTCGGAAACACGAACTAATCAAGCGAATGATCTGACCGCTACAAAACGAGTTGCCCCAACCCAGAGGGGTATCTAGGTACGACCCACGTGCCTATGGCAAGCACAGAATTCATCCCCTATCAGGACACGTCAAATTAGGGATGGTTATTGTTTTAACGGGTCTACACTAAATAGAACTCTTTGTTAGTAACCCGCATAGTACGTGCCATGTCTAGGGATGTCAGAAAAATATCGCGAATTTTTAAAGCATCGATATATTCGAGCAGAAATATCGATGTTTTGCTGTCGATTCTTTCTTCACATAAATTCATTTGTTCAGAAACATCGATGTTTTCGAAAAAAAAATTCTCAAGATATAATTAATATATCCAGTATCTCTTTGGTGGATAGCTCGCTATCAACAGCCATTCACTACTATCACTGTTGTCATTCCCCAGATGGCAGGAAACCTCTTGGTATTCGCAACCTTTCTTCAGAGCTATTAACATTTTTTGATTATTTTTTAATGGTCGTATCGTTATACTGCAATTTGAACTTTGACTACATAGAATATTGATTAGAAAATTAAGATGGTAGTCAAATTTAAGGCAGAATGTACATTTAACTAATATTGACCTTTTATCTACCACATTAGATCTAGGACGTTTTACTACGAAATGTTTCATCGTATTTAAAACATTCCCATTTTAAACATTGATGCTTTTTGTCGATGTTTTCATCGACATCGAAAACCGTTTATTGATGTATCGATATATCGATGTTGGCAAAAATTCGCCATCGCCGGGCATGTGTGCCAACACCCGCACCTGCGCCTCGCAGATGCAGCTGTCCTCGACGACGTAGTGCGCGCCGGGGCGGCCGTAGCGCACGAGGTAGGCGAGGGCGCGGCCGGCGGCGGCGGCGGGCTGCGCGGCGGGGCCCTTGGCGAGGCGCCGCCGCGTCTCCGCCGCCCACGCCGCCTGCAGGTGCGCCCGCGCCCCCGCCTTGCGCAGGTGCGCCGTCCGCGTCACGCCCGGGCACAGCGACAGCACGCGCACCTGCGATGGCCGGCAATGACGACCGCGTGACCAGGGGCGGATCATTTGGGAGGGGGGCATCATACGTTTGTGTTAAATAACAAACGTATTTGTTTTATTATATATTCTTTTTGTAGAGTATATATGATTCTATACAATTTTATTTTTAAATAATTATATTAATCTACCATAAATAATGAAATCAATATTGCCCAAATATAGAACGTAACAAATGAAAACACTAGAGTCCTGGCCGTGGGGGGGGGGCATGCCTCCCCCACTGGAGCCGTCACTGCACGTGACTAAGGTTAATACTGGCTAGAGAACCCGTAGACAGATCTCTGGTGAATATTTTTATTCAATATATAACAAAAATGGTGGTTTTTATTACATAAAACACAATTTCTGCGAAATTGCCATGTAAATCAATCAACTCTCTTGTTTTCGCCCCAACAACAGCAACTAATCGTACACTGGAGTTCGGTAGACCATGTTCCCCACAAGCAAAGAGTATTCGTTTGCCTGCCGAACACCACTGCATGAGGGGTTGCCTAACGATAAGGGGCCAATTTTCCACGTTTATGTTCGTTATACTAAATTTCCTTAGCACATGTTCATTGAACAAAAGTTATCCTCTTTGACACCTCCTACATGCCCTAGAACTTTGTAACATTTATTCTTAGGCATCCTGTTCTCTACATAGACAGTTGATTGTTGCCCCCAACGAGATAGAGTATACTATATAGACTGGCTGAAGCGCCCCCATCTTTGAAGCTAATCGACGCCATGTTTTTTGCAATAAAAGCGGCGCCATCTGGGAAACAAAGCATTATAGCATTACGTTTGGCGCTGGTTGCGGACGCTGGTTACGGACGGTTACACCGCCACTTCAAAAAGCATGGTAACCACAAGTTCGTCGAGCCTCCACCGAGAGTGCTGGAACTTGAGAACATTGATATTGGGGTGGGTTTTCGTTGGCATTTACAATGAAATAATTATATGAGTCGTCATTACTAACAATACTACTTATTACAATAGTAGCTTTCGATGGCTCAGCCATTATCAACAGTTTTCTGCTGTATGGAAGTCACAAAAACGACTACCTAGAGACGACTACTATAGAGATAGAGATAGTCGTTTTTGTGGCTTCCATACAGTAGAAAACCGATGACGATGGCTAAGCGATCGAAAGCTGCTATTGTAATAAACAATGTTGTTGGCAATCACGACTCATATAATTATTTCATTGTAAATATCAACGACTACTCACCACAATACCAATGTCCCTATAGTTCCAGCACTCTCTGTGGAGGCTCGCCGAACTTGTGGCTACCAGGTTTTTTGAAGTGGCGGTGTACATGACTCATACAATTATTCCACTAGAGGGACAGCCACCCTATGTAGTATATTCTATCTCGTTGGTCGCCCCGCTCATCGGGGTCGGGCCGTCAAAGAGAAGAGACGAGAGGAGAAGCGCGGAGCGGAGAGGGGCACCTGCGTGGCCTCCCACATCTGGCCGAAGCTCTCGGTGATGCCGAGCACCGCGCGCTTAGTGGCGCAGAAGACGGGCGCGGAGGGCAGCGCGTCCCACGCGGCCGCGGCCGCCACGTTCACCACCAGCCCGCCCTCGCAGTCGTGCTCGTCCTCGCTCATGTGCTGCATCGCCAGGTCGCACGCGTACAGCACCGCCTGCCGGCGCAATCCCGCGTCAAGCGCCCTCCTCCGGGAAGCAATCTCCTGTTATCCCACCTAAGCCGGTTTGATCGATTGGTTGCGTAGGCTTCCGCGGCCGGAATTTGTGATATCTGGGATATCCGGGACGAGCCGTGTCGCTGACATGGTTAATGTTTCGGCTAGCGTATTGTGGCTTTCCTTAGCAGTAGCTTGATACGGTTAATTACGGTTTGATTGATCGATAATACGGTTTGATTGATAATACGATTTGATTGAATGATAATACGATTTGATTGATCGATAATATGGTTTGATTGATAATACGATTTGATTGTCTGATTCCGGGCGCGTCAACAGCTAAGGTCCCGTAAGTGTAGTGTGTTTTTATAGCGGGACGTGGTGACGATCTTCCCCGTTTGATATCGAGATTCGGCGCCGACTTACGTCAACTGCGGGGGTTTCCTCAACCAGGTGTCTCCCATCAGGGTGACACCGCTCCAGCCTGGAGAATACTCTAAGCTTCGGACTGTTTTCCCAGCATATCTGGTAAGTGGAGTGCGTGTAAGTGTGTAAGTAACTAAGGATAGGGCAAGGAAGAGGAAGGGATAAAAACTTTTGATCCGTGGCCCATTTGTTAGTGTACTACACCTACATTCGTCTGGTGTTGGTCCAAATAAATGGGGAAAACAATATTTGTTTAAGAGGAAGGAGAGAATTGGATTGCAGAATGGATAAAGGATATTAAGAGGAACGTAGCGGAGTTGAATTTTTACACGTGAAGTAACTTGCTCTGTTTTCCTCCAATGCAGAGAAAATGAATGACAATACTGTTTACTATAACACCCTCCCCCTCACAGACCTCAAGATAATGCTCGTAATTAATGACGCTACATTTTCTGTTCAGAAAGAAAGCAAGGTGCAATCTCAGCATGTACTCGACAAAAAACTTCTCGGCTATCCGGGAGACGTCGCGTCGTTGGCTGGGAGGCCGACGTTTCGCCGGACATGTCGCAGGCTTCCTCAGGGCAGTGACGACTAAGGGCGACACTACGTGTGTGGGCTTACTACGTGGGCGCTTACGTGTGCATTTACTCATCAAATCAATGGAAACCGGAGGCACCCCCCCCCAAAAAAAAGAGTCGGACTTTGACGTTTGTGTTGACGGCGCTCTCCCAGTGGCAGTCGTCGAAGACGGCGGCGTTGTTGACGAGGATGTCGACGCGGCCGAAGCGGTCGACGGCGGCGTTGAAGGCGCACTCGAGCTGCGCGGGGTCGGCCACGTCGGCGCGGGCGAAGAGCGCGCGGTCGGCGCCGAAGCGGTAGTTGAGCCTGGCCATGGCGGCGCGCGCGGCCTTGGCGCGCGTGTCCACGATCAGCACCTGCGCCGCGCCCTCCGCCAGCAGCTGCGCACCGACGACACACGCAAGGTTATGTAATGCTGCGCCAAAGAAAATAAAAAGAAATAAAAAATTATAAACAAATTAAAAATTAAAAACAAATAAGAAACAAATAAAAAATAAAATAAAAATTATAGAAAAAAACGAATTTTCAAGAAAAAACTCTTTATTACCTGATAACGAAAAAGTGGATAAATCCATATGCTAAATTTAGAAGAAAAAAATATTCTGATACGTAGTGTAGTCAGAATCCATGTTTTGTGCGTACTTGATACCGAAAAATGAAATGACGGCAAACTGTCCGTCTGTGAACAACGGCTAAACCGTTCAACCGATTTTCTCCACAATTGATTTTCCCCTATCGATCTGGCTGATGTCGCTGCCCCTGGAGTTTGAAACCGATATTTCAATATTGTGTTGTTTGTTCAATTTTGTATTGTGTGTTTGTGTTGGCTGTTGTTTGTTCAAAAGTGATGAAAAGAATAATCGTGTAAAACAGGCTCCAACGGAGTTTGCAAACTCGCGTTGAGATCGTTCTACGACGTGTGTGGACCGTCGAGGAGAAGCACATTTACGCGATTTTTTGTCGATTGCGTCTTACAGACGCGTGAAAAGAGGCAAACCCATGTGGAGAGCGTACGGTGGAGCTCCTTTACTTGTGTGCAGGCGGCCAGGCCGATGCCCGTGGCGCCGCCCGTGACGACGGCCGTCTTGCACTGCGGCTCCATGAAGGCGTCGGGGTCCGGGGCGCAGGGGTCGGGGCGGCCGTGCTGGCAGCGCGGGGGCGGCGCGCGCCTCTCCGCCTTGGCCGCGCGCGCCGCCTTGGCCGCCGCCTCCTTGGGCGTGTCGCGGTGCCGCACTGCGCCTCGCCTGCGGGCACCGGCTCGGGGCGTCGGCTGACGTCATCTCACCTCACCGAGAGGCCCTCAGTCCCCGCGTTGGAAAGGTTTTCGACGCTGGCTAGGTAGCTAGGTCGAGTTCAGCGGCTGTCTGCTCTGATCGGTGGTTTTCCGTGGTTTCTCCGATCAACACCAGGCAATGCCGGAGCAGTTCCCTAATAAACGGGCCACGGATCTCGCGCTATCTTTCCTACCTCTTCCTTGTCCTATCCTCACCCCCCTGCACATGCTTGTGTAGTGGGGCTCCACGTGCTTGTGTAGTGGCCGGCTGCTCTGATCGGTAGTTTTCTATGGCTTCTCCGATCAACACCAGGCGAAAATCGGGGCAGTACGATAACAACCGAACCAATTTTTCCTTCGTCTTCCTTGACCTATCCTCGCCCCGCAATTACACACGTACATGCACTACACTACCACACACGCCGGGAGACTCGTCCGGAGCTAAGAGCGTGTCCCGGCTGGGGTGGTGCCCCGCTGTTGGGAGATACCTGGTTGAGGGTAAACCTCGTAAACCGACGGTATGTCGGCGCTGGATCTCGCCATTGACTAGGGAAGACCTCCCGCGCTAAAACATGCACTACATTTACTGGACTAATGCCCTTAGCCGTTGACGCGCTCTGAATCACTAATCAATCAATCAAATCAATCGCCTGGAGGGAGTCTGCAACGCGCCTACAGGCTTGGGCGGAACGTGGGTCCAAGTATTGGGTCGATTGATTCATTGATTAGTGATTCCGGGCGCAACTGCTAAGGTCATTAGTTCCGTGATAGTAGTACATGTTTTTATCGTAGGAGGTGGCTGTGATCTTTCCCCACTAGGTAGTGAAATCGGATCCGACCTACACCTAGCTTGCGGGATTTTCCCCAACCAGGTACCTCCTATCAAACTATCACGGTTTCGAGTTTGGTCGTATTCTGAAGATCTGTGCGCATGAATTGTATCGAGTATCTGTAAATTGTTTTGTTAACGTGGTACATCCGGTTGGATAGAAACGGTCGCCATTTCATGTAAGCTAAACGAGAGGCACGCATGCCCTCACGGGTAAAACTTACGATTCCAGAGCGTTTACGGGCGTTATCGGTAAGATTGTATTAATGGACCGAGGGCTAGCAAAAGGTATGAGATTGGGAAGTGATAAATGAAACATCGCAAGAGTCGCCGGCAGTCTCTGGGCCGACTGTGTAGGCAACTGCGCGGTTTGTTTCGTTCCGAGCGATAAGAAAGAGGAAGTGGCGTAAACCCCGCGTTACCCAATGCATCTCTCCCAGGGGCGGCGTTCGTTGTGCATCCAGGCCGCGCGGGGGCGGAACCGCGGCCGGGGCGCTTCGCGCGGTAGCGGCTGCAGCAACAGGCGCCTCAGTAGAGCTCCGGCCCCTGTTGTGAAGAACCTTGTTACAGATTTTAACGTCTCGAGTCGTACAGAGCGAAAGGCAGACGCAGTTGAAGCGTGGTCTTAAAAAGAGGGTAACAAGTTTTAACGAATCGATTAACTACATTTCTTTCTCTGTCTGTGGAGTATTCTCGAAATTATACCGTTGTACCGAAATATCGGTAAATATATTTTATGAAATATAAACCAGTTTTGGCCTTACACAGTATTCTAATACCAATACATCGGTACTATATAATAAGTCAATCTCTACCTGATATATCTCCGACGAACCACCTCGTCGCTTCAGCCGGCGTCGTCGACGCCGCAACCCCAGCCACCTTTGGGCATCCTTGCCCCCTTTTCTGTGCCCAGGCGAACGTGTGGCAACCTGGTACTTCCGCGACCTAACGACAAAGTGGGGGGAATGGATAAAGCACCTTCTTAAACATTTGACACATAATAATTTGACATATTTTAAATCTGTCAATATATTTTAAGTGCATTGTTCCGCTTGTATACATAATACAAGTTTTTGAAAGTTTTGTCTCTACAGTTATACAGGCTTTGTCTTCTTGTGGTGTAAGCTTCAAAATTTGGATATTGGTGACCAAACCCCTCATGCCATCATTATGAGCATTTTCAATAATCGTGAAGCCGAACTAATAAGCAAAGTTCAAATGTATGGAAGCACCAATTCAAAATACACTTCTAAAAAATCTAAAAAAAGGAAGAAAGAAAATTAAATAGTACCTAAAAATTGCCATATAATTTCACAGTATGACCTTAAAGTTTTTCTGTATTACCTAAACTTTAAGAAGGGATATAAATTGATATGTATATTTAATAAAAATGTCTTAGGCTTAGGAAATAATGAAAGAAAAAATATTTTCAACAAAGAAAGCTATGAGAGCGAAGAAAAAATGCGATGTATTTACGTGTGATTCCAATGCCTCAGGACGTTGCAAGCACTGTAAAGACCGATCGTCCAGCCCCCTATGCTCTTTCGACAGAGTATTAGTTTGGTCCTCGAACTGCACGCTCCTTCCGAAATTCGTTGCTTCTCGGGAAGCTGGCAAAGGACCCGTGAACAGGACATCTTTGCTTTTAAAAACGTAGGAAGTTACTTGGTCTTTCAAACAGGAGAAAAGTCGTTTTTGCAAATACTGACTTGGTGAAGCCACTTTAAACATTATTGGCGAAACCAGCAAAATTTAAAATGCCAAATAAGTTGCACCAGACTGTTTTATTATGGCAACGAACATTTATCTTCAGATGGCCATGGAATTTCTTGCGGTTTTAATATTTTTTTTACGAAAACCTGCCATTTTATTCCAAGATATGCAATAGATATATAAGTTGCATACAAAGTTTTGTTTCAGACTTTGCTTAAACCGAATTAAAGTCAAATTTACCATGATGATTGCTGAGGCGGTGTGGGAGATTAAGGGGGTTAATTCCCTCCAACCGAAAAGGCTAAAAGAAAAGGATTCCTAAACCCTAAGCAGGTTAAATCTATAGTACTCACAGTACATGGTCAAAAATACCCCTCCAATAAAAATCTCTTGCTTGTTGTTCTCTGCGTGCCAGAAATACATTTTAAAAGTTTTATAATGCTTAGGATTAAATAGTTTTTAAATTATAAAAGATATGTAGAAAATGTAATTCTAACTATAATTTCAATTAATTTATAGTCAGATGTTGCTTGATACTTTATGTTAGTACGATTATAATGTAATTAACAAATTTGTTGTAACCAAAAAATACAGGATTTTTGAAATGACAAAAAATTCCTTACGTGCCCTCATATTGAATATTTTTATTGAAAAACTCTTTATAGAACTTTTTGTGAATGGGTGATTTAACGTGTTTTAAGACTTGTGATTTTATGAGGTGTTTTTCAGTTATGGCCTTAACTTCTCACTATTTAATTGGCTGTCCGAGTGACGCCGCGTCCATGGCAAAGGTGCCAAAGGCACCCGGTCACCTGGACAACCAGGTAAATACTGACTCCGGCCGCGGAAGCTTGCACACTCAATGAATTCCTCACCTTGCCGTCCCTCGGGTGTTATGTTTTATCTTAAGACTTGAATTTCTCTTCCGTTTCCTTTCACGCCGCACGTATACTGCACGCGCAAGTTTTCTGGATCCCCAAAATCTCTTCCACAACTTGTTCATTAACATTGATTGAGACCAGAGTAAATGATTTAGCAACGACCTTTGATGAAAAAATCTGATAAGAAATATTCGCTCCCATGTAATCATTGGCGGATCCAGAAACAAATTTTGGGAGGGGAAATTGAAAATGTTTTGTTCGAGTGTCATATTACAGATTTTTAAAATGTCGCAGACTACACCCAGCTCATGCTTAAATACGATTTTATTATTTTTAATGATTATCCGAAAAATAGTTTTGCTTGAAAGTTTCGTGGCAAGTTAAAATTAATAGTCACTGAACATTTGTGTGTGGGTGGATGGGAATTTCTCTGGATCCGCGTCTGGTATAATAGAAACTATTTTGAATCAAAAATGATCTACGAATTTGATAATAGTCCTGTCGATCAAATAAGCAAATCTCTCACACCCCTATGTAGCACAACAAAACATGTAAGAGTACTAAATATATTAAATAGGTATTTGTGATCATTTGGTCACTGTTCGTACATTCGTAAGTCCCGGTTTATATTCTTTGCGGTGTAGTTTCGCCAACTTTGTATATAAAAATTAAATTTAAATAGTATCTTTTCTGCTACAAAGAAAGTGATGTTGAAGTTATATTGGGTCTGTTTTTTTGTACAGAATATTATTACATTGATGTCGAATAATGTAGTTGTGTGCAATGCGATATTATAAAACGTGATGTTACAATAAAAGTTGGCAAGACGAAGTACAGTTTACATGGCGTACAAGCACATGGGCGGTAAAACGGAGTTGATATGTGATCAGGACTTGGACTGTTTGTTGATACAAATCCTTCGGATGTAGTCAAATGTGCAAGCGAATGTGTTTTGAATATCATTAATTGTGTGTGTGTGTGAGCTGTGCCAATTAATTATGGATTTCTGTTTGAGGGAGCATGTGCCTTCAATGTATTTTGAAGGCATTGCATGTCACTGTCACGTCAAAGCAATAGCATTCCAATGTAAGGATTTATTTTTCAACTGTGATTTATTTTTATGTTACATACATATTATTTAACCTTGACTTTCTTTCTAGGCGTTTCTGATATTGTTGTTGTTTGTATGTCCAATGGGACATTGATTGAATTCTCAGATAAAGAAGTTTTAAAGACTTGTGAAATTAAGGATTGTGTACCTGAAAATGTTGAATTTTTTATTTGTTACAAGCCATTCAGTGTTTTCTATGTTGTAAAATCTAAGACAAATGTGTACATAGTGAAAAGAGAGAAGTATTTGAAGGTGTGTCATCCTCTATTTCCAGATTTGTATTCACTATTGTTTGAAATGTGTTGCCAATAATTATATACAATTATTTGCTGTAGGTGAGCCATACATTTAGTAAAGTAAAAAAGGTTGTGAAAGATGATTTTTGGAAAGTAGGATCTCCACAAATTGGATTGTGGTATTGTGACAAAGAAGTTTCTGAACATCCTCATTTTGTGACTGACCTGTCTGACAGCGAACCAAAAAATGAAGGAACATCATCTACTGATCAATTTTCTGCAATCTACTATGAGAGACTGAAGGTTTGAAATTATTTTAATATCGTTCTCCAAGACATCCTCTTTATTGTATTAATTTTATACCTGTTCCGAATATTCTTTATCTGAAAGGTCTGAGATAAATTAAAATTCATTAATTCCTGTTTCATTTCATATGTAAGTAAGCAGCTGTTATTTAAGTCTAGATATTAAAAGAAATAATATCCAATGCGTTTGCACAAACAAAACAACAGATTAAATTGTTTAATGTGAAATGTACATTGAAGTATTAAAATAAAATGTAATGTAAATAAGTTCCAAAGCAGAAATATTAATCTTCATTAATGTTTTTAATTTTGCTAAATAGATAAGTTTTAAAGATGAAATAGAGATAGAAAAAAATGTATTGTTTCCAAATTCTGTTATTTTTAAAATTCATTTATTCGTTTTAAAATTATATATTCAAATTCATTTCAAGAAACAAAGTTTTATTTCCTGTATGATGTGCATGTGATTGTAAGGCAATTAGGATTTGTAACCCTAGTGCGATCATACTAGCTGATAAATGCTTTTCACCAGACTGTCCTTTTTCTTCTCTTATTCCTGGAAATGCCTGTGGTGCGTTGCATTCCATATCAATAGAGAAGTTAAGTTTAAGAAGGGACCTGTTTGACAGGTCAGAAAACAAATAAAAGTCACATTGGATTACAGAATTGCAAGATACCTGTTGAAGCCATTTACAAGTGCGCCAATGTGTTCGTGTGATTGCATGAATTCAGCATGTAAACACAACTGACAGGAACATTGCCAGCAGTAGTCAAGTGATAGTTCTCAAAGCAATCCCTTCTTAGAATAATCTCTCTATATCTACGTCTGCTCATGTTCAAAGTATTATTTTGAGTAGGTTTGATGATGCAGTAGTTTAGTTTTTCCTATCTCATTCTCTAATACCTACATTGTGTAAACCAGCGTTGTATTTTTATTGTATTATATTTAGTATGTTTATTGAGACAAATGATTTTTTGATATTTCTGTTGTGCTGCAAATTTACTGGTCATTAAAATGTAAATGAAAACCTATTTGAAGCTACTTTATTTTATTTATGTACTCAAAATTCAAAGTGACACAATGATAAATTTAATCCACCTTATGGTTGTGAGCAAAATTTATAAAAGAACACATGTTTTAGGGTTAAATAAAATTAGGTCAGTAATGCTAGTTCATGTTAATATAATAAGTGATTGTGTAATAAGTGAACATATTTTGAGGAAAATTAATTATTAATCTTATAAACTATTATAAAGAAGCTTTTTGAAAAGATAAGTAAATTTTATTAGCATAAAAATATTCTGTATAGCTAAAAATACTCATCACATAAGTATAAGTTTTATATAGACTAAGAAAGATTTGGACTTTGTATATTAGTTGGTGTTGGTCATTTCCACACACATTTCTTAATCATGCAATTTAAATGTATAAATATGAGTATCCATCGGAATAAAGACACTAGAGGTGCAGAGGAATCAATTTTTTATTCACTTGCCTACTTTTGTGTAGTAATAATTTTCAAAGGTGAAAGTTGATAAAAAAATTATTTGTAAATTGATAATGTAAAAGCAATTAACTTTTAACTATGTATATATTGGTAGAAAATTAACAAAATTAAAATTAAATATAAATTTATGCAAATGTGAATTGAGCAATACAGAGGGGGAGGAAAATAATTTTATGAAATTATTAACAATGTGTAAACTAAGTGTAACTTACCTAGCTACCAGCCTCTAGGGGGGAAAAAACATTTCTTGTGAATTCTGAGGAGTATCAAGAGTTTACACTGACACGGGACAGAAGGGAGATGATGAAACTCTCAGGCTCTTTGTTGCCCTAGCAGTGGCTTTTGTTGAAAGTTGCTGAAATAAATAAAGAGTTGATACAAATTTTTGGCAATATGTAGATCAGAATGTTCCACGTTGTAAATGAAATGTTTCTTGAACTCCTTTAATAATGGGAAAATGGGTGCTCTGCTTCAAACAGCTTAGGTTCTTTGGTTAAGAAACATTTCAAGGGAGGTGAATAAAATATTTCTAGTGTTTGGCTGGCATTTAATTTATTTGATTGTTCACATAATATAGTATAGGAAAGTGCAAGATGTGTTGTAGAACACACTAATTTTATTGTTTGATGGGTTATGCATTTTTTCTTTTGGATTAATGTTTGCTAATAACAAGTGAAGAAAAGAAAAATGCTCCCCCCTCCCCCATTTTTCATTGAAATTAGTTGTCTTAGAATTTTAAAAGAATGTCCTTGATTGACACATTAAGAGGTATTTGAACACAAATGAGTCCAATCCAATTAAAAATCGAAATCGAAAAAATAATCAATTTAAAAAAAATGTAATGCTGTTATTTAAAATCATCCAAAAATAATTTTGTATTTTAAGACTGGCAGAGAAGTTCTACTGTTTACAACATCAATACCTAGTTCAATAGTTCCGTATGTAGTTCTTTTTATTCTATGACTCAGTTAAACTTATGTGAAAGGATCACCACATGTTAACTAGTTATCTATGTCATTTTTATTGAAGAATGATCACTTCTAAATAATAATTTCATGACATGATAAATAAATAAAGATATTGTCAGGTATCAATATTTGATAATAATATTGATACCTGACAATATCTTTATTTATTTATCATAATAAAAATGTATCTACTCCACCAACAATCCAATTAATACATTTCATGACATGTTTGTTTAGGAAGTAAGAATGAAAAGCTTGCAATTAAAGCAAAACCTGGAAGAAAAAAGAAAATTAAGATATAATTGTGTTCAGCAACTTGTTAAAAGCGAGCTTGAAGAGGATCTTTGTGCTCAACTAGAAGAGGATCTTCATGTAAGTAGAACGACTAAGCACTGTGACATCTGATTGTTTATCTTAGAAAATGGAAATTTATTAGGTTAGATGTAGTTTATAACTTGTACAGTAAAACTTTCATTTCAAAAGTCTTTTAAATTGGAAATTATACAAACGCACACGCATATAACACACACACACACACATACCCACACACACACACACACACGCACGCGCGCACACCCACACACTCGCGCACACAACATTGTAAAGAGGTTTCTTGTATAGTAAGTATCTGAAAGTCATGTAAAATTCCCAAAATTATATAGGCTGCAATTGCTCATTCAAATATTTAACAGTGCTGCAAAATCATATAAGCTTTGGGTTTCCGATACACACTGTGTTCCTCCAAAGATATTTTTCCTTCAAATCTGTGATTCATAGATTTTTCATTTACATTCATAAACTATTAAGCACTTGTCTACAGCTACTTTTTACTTGTAACATGATAACAATAATTTCAATGGGCAAAAGCTGTAAGGCAAAGCAATGCAAATAAATCTTGTATATCGGTACTTTTGTATCATGGAACCAACAGTACAGTATGAAGTCTTATTTTTTCTTGCAACCCTTGTCTGGGAGCACCTGCTTTTGGTTTTTGCAATTTGGCAACCATATCAAATACCTTTAGCATTCCTTTCACTTTCAGTGACTCTCCAACAGTCACATGCCCTTAGATTTCGAGATAGGCAAATGCGATTAGTTTAAAGGAGGAGAAAACATGCTCTGTCTTTGGGTGTTAATTCTTTCTTGTTTCATTCATTTTCATAAGAACTCGCATTTAGAATATAATAGTCACCAAAATTGTAATTTTTAGGGACAAAAATATTTTAAATATTTTTTTATCAATTATTTTCAGTAATTATTAATTTAGTACTTATTAATATTGTATAAATATTAGTGTAAATGTTATTAAGATTTTCTTATTAATTTAATTTACAGGTTTCAAGCGCTCAAGCAAAAGGTGTCCTGAAAATCAATGTATCAAATGATAATAAAAAAATAATATTAACAATAACAACTACATAATAATGTAAATATATGTGGGAATGAGATTATTCGGGATTGTTAAAGAAACACTCACTCAAGCTTTATTTTAAAGATTGTGATAGAACTTCAAAATACCACAAATGCACATGGTCAGCACTTCCTCTTAAGACTAACTGCCACACACATCTTTTTGCAACTCCAATTTTTTAGTGTTGATGCACGCTCTCTGCTTCCTTGCTTGGAAAACTCAAAAAGCCTTAATTGGATACCCAGTTATAAATTTTGAAGGGCTTGGTAATGATTTTCATTGATCAGGTATTCTCATTGATCTCTTTGCAGGCATTCTTTAAATAATAATTGTTGCATCTTGGTCAATAAATTAATGAATTAGACATAACTTCCCTCCACAACATCAATATTTTGTTTCTAGAGCATACTGGTTAGAATTGCAGGAACAAATGTTTTCTCTGCCTGCAAATGCCGTAGCCCACCCTGCCCTGCCTCAGTCAGCATGAAAGGATTGCAGTCAGTGAAATGCATACCTAACTGTTCAGAGTCTTGAAACACACAGCAACAGGGACGTAGCTGCAGCTTATCTCTCACCTTTTTCTGTACTCTTCTGATGTGCCTGTCACTGCAGTCGTGACTGGCAGCAAGTTTCCACATTTTTGCCAAATTTCCACAACAAGAGCAAGTGCTTTCAGACATGGGTTGTGAGATAAAATAAAGACACTGGGTTATGATCTGCTTTGTATATGAGGAATACATTCTTGAAGTTCTCATTCAAGAGTTTCATTTCAGTGTGTCAAATAAATTTAATGAGAGGGAATTTTACTTAATTTGTATTCTAAAAAATTGTTGTTTTTTTCAGTTAGTAACAGTGCTTGGTGAGAAAAATGCAAGTACATCGAAATCTCAAAAATCTGGTTGTCCTCGCCTTGAAATGCGAAAAGTGTGGAAGAAGATTCACAATGACAAGTGGATTGTTGGTGTGCAGGTTGTCAACAAAGGGAAGATGTGAGTTGATAAATATGTATTTCCTTTTTTTTTTAATTTCATCTTCTCAGTAAAGAAATATTTCAAAGCAAATGTTTTCAATGCCATTGTGTATTGCTACATTGGCTTACCGTGGTTACTTCAGAGTTTCTTCACGTAACGATACTAATACTTTTTTTGCTGAATTTAGCTGAAATTATGTGAATTGAATTGATTTTGTTGAATGTCTATTTTCCCCTCTTGCTTCTCTAATTTGTCTGTAAAGATTTTACTTTCTTTCGTTTATATTTTACTATTGAACTTTATCACATGAAATTAATTTTTCAATGTGCTTTTTGCTGTTCCTTGGCTGTATGAAGTGAAAACAGGGTAGCCACTTATTTCCTAGAACAAATGTCCCCGACTTTTCTTCATTGATCAGTTGTAGGGTATTTTACACTATCTAATAAAAATATTAAGGGAAGCCAAACACTAATTTGTTACTTCTCATAGTGATAAAAGTACAAATTTTAAACAATTCTCAAAAAATGAAAATTGTGTAACTTTTTTTTTTTGCTGAATTAATTTTTTAAGGAAAAATATCTAAATACATAAACATCTACAAATTTTCTCTGACATCTAACAATTGTTCTTCGAATACCTTGATTTTTTTCCTGATTTCCAAATCAATGAATTTCCCTGATTTTCCTCGGTTTTCCAGTGTGGCTACCCTGGTAAAGGAAAAGTGGGGTTGGAATGAACAAAAAAGTTGAAGGTTGAGATTTCAGTAGGGGAAGTCCCTAGATGAATAAAGTGGTTTTTACCATGAGGTCCATATGGATGTGTGTTGGTATGTCACATTTCAGCCATGTGGATAAAAAGCTTTTGATCTCCAATTTGGTGCTTCATTAGAAGTAAAGTATGTTAGTGCCATTCTAACAATGTTAAAGTTTGGTTCTGTTGGTAAGGCGAAACACAGTTTTAGCCCCCTCCCTCCCAATCTTAAAAATTGCCTCTTTAGCCTAAAGTACGGGTCAAGGGATAAGGTTGTTATGCCATTCACTCTAACCCCAGTTGCCACCACTCACATCCTCTAATCTGGAAGATTTATATGGGAACAAGCCAAAAACCTTAACTTTTTCTTCTGTGCATGTTCTCCAAATCTGACCTTGGAATCAGCTAGTAGAAAGGTCCCATTGATCCTATTCCCCATCCCATCTATTACCAAGCTTAAATGATTTATGTGTGTGCCATACATTTTAAATTATTAGTACTTTTTCAATGGAAAGTGTTCAAAACCATAAAATTCTTCAGTTTACATAATGTACAGTATCAGAGACTGACTGTCAGGCACACCACCGTGGCGTCCCCACTGTATGTGTCACTGAATCTTGCTACACCACTTTCCAGGAATTCTGTAGTACAATATTAACTTTTGGAAAACTTTGAAATAATTTGATCTGAATTGTTTTAGTTCCTCCAAATTTTGTATTCACAAGACAGGCAAGAAGGCAAGATAAGGAGAAGTCTCAGAATGCTAAGCATCCTCTGTCTTTCCTCTTGTTTTTTTAACTTTGTTTTTTGCAAAAATGTGCATATAAAGCAATAATTTAAAACTGAACTGTCAACATCACTCATTAATTGGACAAAAGCTTGCAAGCCATTTTGTAGTGTATCTCATGTTTTTACTTGTCAAATAAAAAGATACAGTTCTGCTTTTCTCTGAATTTGTTTCTGACAACAAAACAAATCAAGGCTGGCAATATGTTAGAAGGAACTGGATACGGGAACTGTAGGAAACATAATGTAATTTTAGGAATTGTATTGCCTAACAAATCTTTATTTTAAACTGGATATTAATGTTTACATATTTACAACTTGTAATAAAATTATTATAAACTATAATATTAGTAAATTGTATTGGATCAGTGACAATATTAAATAATCTATTTCATTTTCAATTACATTTTAACAGTCTATTTGAGTAGGCCCTATGTTTTACTTGAGCTAAGAAGTCCATTTATCCGATTTAGGAGGACTTAAGTGATTGCTGCTTTTCAAAGATTACTGTAAAATTTTCCATGCAATAAATTGAACTTCTCTGGGCCTAGGAAGAAAATACTTAATTCTATAGTCTTATAACGGTGATGGGTGGAGGTGACTAAGGCTTGCTTGGTGGCAGCAGTGTAACATAACCTGATAGGTTCAATTCCTATCATGTAGTTATTTTATTCTGCTCCTGTTCCCATGTCCATGTATCCATCCAAAGTGTATCCAAAGAGCTCAAAATCATACCTGTGTAATAAACAAATAAATATCATTAAAATCTTGTCAATGAAGGAAAAAACTATTTCACTTTTCTAGTATAAAATTAAATGAATGAATTGGAACATATAATATGAATTAAAACCACAGGGATAATCATGTGAAGATTTCTATCAAGAAAAATAATAAAAACATTTATATGAACATGTCTGGAAAGACACAGAGAACATACATTTTAATATAATTATTCTGCTGTTAAAGTAGTTGTGTATATGCCACAAAACGTCCAAAATATTTGGTAGTATGTTAAGAGTTGCTAGCTAATTAGCACATCAGCCAAACGGTGTGGATATGTCATTATGAATGGCAACGAACAATATTTTGGACTTTTCCCATTTTTTTGTTAGCATTCACCAAAGATCGTTGGCTAAAATAAAGCGATTTAGTGTAAAACTGTCACGGAGCGCCATTGCCAACTTTGAAATGGGTAGAGAAGCGTCAACTGAGGTATATTAAAGTGTGATTAGTTTCAGTGCTATCATGCACATAAAGTATGACTGACCCAGAGAAAATCAAAACTATTCACTATCTACTATCATCAGCAGTTTGATATGTATTTATCACATAATATTTGGTAAACATCATTATCGTAACCCACTCTATCTACCCTAGCCACCTCTTGTTAATTAATTGACTTGATCTTGCTAAAGTTCGAAGTATGCTTCGAAGCAGTTTTCTCTTTATACTTTACTCATGTTTGGATAATGTAAATATTAATTGGAAATTAGATTCGGGGTTTAAAAGTCAACATTTTTTCTTTTCCTCCCTACTACTATATATAGTAGTACAGGAAGTATGTGTAAGTATTGGAGTCACCTCAACAGTACGATCTCAAGTTTACGGAAAAAAATCTGTGATGAAGTTTCGATTGAGCAGTGACTTTGCACCATGGTTTCAATGATTTAAATCAAGTTTTTTCATTCATTTCAATGATTTCATTCATTTCAATGATTTCAATCACTTTATATCATTGATTTAAATCACATGTTCACCAAAAAATCATTGATTTAAATCAAAAATGTAATTTAATGTAAATTTTACTGAGAATGATTAAAAATGTGAAGGTCAAATAAAAGGAAAATATATCCAAAAAACTGAAAAGAAAATATTAGAAAGAAGACAAGGAATATGGAGAAGAATTTTTTTTTTTAAACCAAAGATTGTACTAGCGAAAGTGAGCGTTGACATTAACGCTTTCAAAAGAGAATGGTGCACATTTGCATCATTTTTGAATGATGAAAAAGATGCTGTCTATTTCTATACTAGATTGGATAATTATAATACTAAAAATTCATATTTATTTGGACTGATTAAGTCTTTTTCTTGCAAGAGAGGGTGTTTAAAGAACAGAAAAAATGTTTATGAACCAAGGAAAAATGTTGTAAACCCCCAAAAAATGTAATGAGATTACATTTTTTGCACATTATTGATTTCATTCACATTATTTGCAGAAAGTTGCCTTAATGGATTTAACAAAGTATTCCAGGAAGATTTTTCTGAACCAGGAAAGTTCTAGTAAAAAGCCTTAATATCTCAGAACTAGGTCAATGTCGGGTAGTCCCGTTGTTCTACTGAACTATTCAATTTTTTGTCTCTTTCTTTAAATATCTAAAAAGTGTACCTAATGTGGGTATTTAAATTAAAACTTTTAAAAAATCCGATTTAGATTTAAAAGATGCGTTTTTAAAATTAAACGATCATGATTTGTATTAACCCTGCTTCGCACACACGTCAAGATTAAGGTAAATTAGTGCTGTTCCAAAGACGATTCTGATTGGAGCAGCTGTCGAGAAGATACATGCTATTTCATACCTGAAAATCAAGATGTCTGACTGGGGGTGTGTCACGTGTAACTCCGACAGATCAGAAGCTTTTGAGCGGAAACGTGATAAATGCGTGACGAATGCGAAGTAGTTGTGCGGTTCTGGAGATCATTAATATATTGTAATTTTTGGGGGTGCTTTACACATTCTGACACTCAAAAAATTCTGGAAAATGGCTGCCATTTTTATTCGAGTAGTACTTTTACAAATATGTTACACTTCCTATTTCAAAATTTCAAAAACTGAAATTTTGAAAAGTGCAAGCGATCTAATTGATGCAACGTAACCTTCAATTGTAGATCTTTAAAGGATATCATGTACTTAGAAAACGAGTAGCTGTTGAGAAAACGACAGGTGAACGACAAGTTTGGGTAATATGTCGCTCATTCCTACGTTTATTCCGGTTGTCCCATCTCGAGCCACGAAGTGCTGCTGTGAATTCACGCTCGTCGGAGGCTTTCTGGATTAGCGAGATATGCCATACGAGGATATGCATTCTTGGCTATCCGGGATGAGCCGCGTCTCGGTCAATTGTACTGATGTTTCGGCCATCTTGCTGTATAGCAGCAAGCATCAGCAGTATAGCTCTGAAGAAGGCCACAACAAGATGGCCGAAACGTCAGCCCAATTGACCGAGACGCGGCTCATCCCGGATAGCCAAGAATGCATTGGCTCCGGCCGCGGAAGCCTACGAACCCACGTACGAAGATAGGTGATCGGCCCATCGCTCGAAAGGGGATGCGGGCAGAGGAAGGAAGGAAGCATCGTGACTCACGTTCTAGGGAGCTACTCGGGCGTTCGTCTGGAAGCGAGCGACCGAGAAAACTACTGATGCGATTCCTGCCGACTACGGCAACGTACTAGCCGATGAGAAGCGCATGAGGCAAATTGCCGGAACCGCCACCTCCCGGTCACTGGCACTAGAGCACTGGAACGCCGCCGGGGTGAGGCCACTCGCCGCTACCTATGGTGCGTGGTGCTAATATAATAGTAAGGTTCGCAACTAGTTTATGATGCTAAGCTTTATTGCATGAATACATGTTTAGAAAGCATGCCACGTTGGTTGAAAAAGAGCGTGGTTTCAAATTTGTACGAATGCAATAAAGCAACATTATACGTTAGTTTTTGCAGTTAGAGTTGCATGTACGTTATGTTTTTGTATAAGAGCATTGTGAATTTGGTTGGCTGTTCGGTTTACCGCTACCTCCTCACGTTTCTCTCGCTGCATTTGGCCGAATGTGTAATGATGCAATTATTCGTGTCATAAACGCAAATACGTCACAGTCTGTGCCGTTAGATGTCCTTTTATGAATGATTTGTCGTAACGAAAAGGTCGTTTATAATGCTGGAATACAAATAAATATATATTTATATAATTGCAAAAGTACATGCTCTGAAACTGAATTGTGGCATAGAAGAAGCACAGATCTTCTGAATATGATACGGGTACTCGTAATACCGCGCTGTAAGATTGTAAATAATGTTTTTTCACGCAACGTATGTATTTTAAGTGATTTAAATAATTAGTCTTTCTTATTCTTTTCCTTATCAAGAAAGAGAATATCTCCATGCATGTCTCTGCGAAAATAAACCTTATACACATAAATGTACGATTTAAAAGATGCAAAAATTTGTTAATGGAACTTACTTATAGATGTTGTACAGCTGTAAAATTTGAATCTTCGTGAGCTGAGAATAATAACCAGCAACCACCTCCTTCGTAGTGCGGCCTTTCGCAGGGTTCTTCCATTGCGGTTTAATTATTTTCTGAAGATGTGCGAGGTGGATTAAGTAGTTCTGATCCTCCTGTTGGAAAAGAAGTTCTTGTTGATCATTGAATTTATAATGTTAAGATATTTTTTAGAAATAATTGCAATAGTTTTCTATTAAGGCATTTGGTCACATTGCGTTTACATTCTTTTTTAAATAAAATTTTATTAATATTTTGTAAGAAATGTTTTTTTTTTCAACATCCTTAACATTTAGTTGTTTCTTATTTTAAGCTACTCCCGTTTTGTGCAATAGTAAATGTTCAAGAAACCATCCTATAATTCAAACTTAAATTAACTTCATCCCTCCAAATTCTTTCTGGATTCGCCCCTTTGTGTCTTCTTCATAACAATGAATGCTCAAAACATTACTATAATGTCCACTCTTCCGTCCATATTAAATACAGCTAGAGAATTCGGCAAGTGAGACAACTATCAAAATAATACCTTTTTAACCATCAAAATTTGAAATAATTCGCCCAACCTAATTTTTGATAATTCATAAGGCAATTTAGCTTTTGTGTCGTTTGTTTTTGTGCATTTCGCATCGCCGTAGTGAACATGTTCGATCAAAAGATTTTCAGCGCTAAAGAGAGTAATGAATTATTATTTAAAATAAATTACAGTCCAAAGGATGCATATTTAACTCTCTGATGAACAGTAATAAATAATGTCTGCATGTAGTTAAGACATTTCATAGCTCAAGTTGTCTGTAACAGGTGAAGTCATCTGTTGCTTTGTAAAGAAGAATGACAGGTGATAAGGGAACGCAATCTAAGTGCAAAAAGTGTAGTCCGTTTTGGTAAATTTCATTTCTATGTACTCTACAAAGTGGATTCTTAAGTCAAGTCATTTAAAATTAACCCAATTAATAAATAGAAATGAATTATTTTTTTAATGAAGAAGAAAGACGAGGGCGACTTTCCCGGGAGTCCTAAGACCTCGTCTTACCTGCAGTGTTTCAAACTTCGCTATGACGTCGAAGCGAACTTGGCACGGAGTGCAGAACTCGGCGATAGGCGTCCAGTGCATGTCGAAGGACTGGCCCTTGCGGTGTTCGTCCACCAGGTAGCGCACGAACTCCGGGAACGTGGGCCAGCGCGGGTTCCGCCGACTGGATTTCCGCCCTTGCGGGAAGAACTGTGGACAGCGTAGCAGGACGAGCGTGAACCCTCCTGATCTCGCAACCAGCCTCAAAATTCGCTATATATTGGCTACAGGGGTGCCGGGAGAAGGAGAAGAGGTCCGTGAGAGAATCAGTGGGGACTCTTCATTTCAAACAAACGTATAGGAAATAGTAGAAAAGGCCGCGAAAATAATTTAATTTGTTTTTAACCCTCTGTATAAACAGAGCAAAGAAACATGGGTTATGGTAGTAAACAACTCTAGGTCCAAAGGATTGAAAGCGATCATTTCGTTTAAAAAACCCTAGGTAGCAGGACTCTCGCGAACAATGTGGTTGATCTGTGCGAACTATTCTAAAATTATCGGGATAGAGCATTTTGCGTAAAAAAAAGTGAACTCTCATTCAACTCTCTTTCAACCGCAAAACTAACTTTAAATTGCAAAATTGCATCCTTCAGAAATTGGCTTTCGTAACCAGCTCATTCCGTATTATTGTTTCTGGGGCTTTTATCCAGCCGACAGCTTTTATCCAGCCGACACCCTTTACGTACCGATGGGTCACATATTTGTTCATAACCAACACACTTACGGATTCCTCTGATCTGGAGTCAGCAGAACGTGAGGCCCTCCGCGATAACGCATACATGGGAGACATGGAACAGACAACCTTGCCCAAGGCAGGGCTCGAATCCGCGATCCTTCGGACCGAAGCGCTTTGTCAGTACACGCTCTTAGGCATCTTGGCCATTCAAGTCGGCCCCACTCCATTATTTTTAAAAATTAATATTTTGCATTTTCGCAAATAAATGTATAGGATCGTTCATAACTCTCAGGGAGAGAGAAAATTTTAATCCAGCTTATTTCTACGTAATATGTGGCACGGACGTATTAAATCGCCTAAGAACGCGAGAAGTGTTTTACTTGTGAAATCTACGCGAATAGTATGGGTTAGTTTTGATAGCAAACATTGCACGTGTGTCTTCATTTTGGATAATTTTAGTACACGAATATAGATAAACAAAACAGCTAATACTTCTCGTTTTGAGGTGAACATTAAATGAAAATTTTATCAATTATTTTGAAGAACATTGACTTAAGGTTTAAAACAATTGTTTCAATTTTAGTTTGATTTATTTTATTTCTCGATTTTATAATTTTGAAAGTTTATTGAGTACTAATATTTAATACCTTTGGAGGGCTGGTTCGATACTTGAGGATGATCTCTGTTCCCAGCTTTTGGTGAAATGTGTGAGGCAGAGAGTACTCCATCTTGTCACGGTACGCCGAGAGCAGGCGCTCTAGAGGATGGCGGACGATGAGGAAGGATACAGAGTCGTTCAGCGCCCCCTGAAACACATTGAAGGGATATTCAAATTGTGGTTCTATTAAGAGCTGTAACAAAAATATATTCGCATAATTTTGGGTTAAATGGCGGCAATTTAAAAACCTAGTGGTTCTACAACAGCACAAACTTTCTCGTATTATTTCAAACTTTTCTATTTTCGAAAATTTGGAGAGTTTAGGGAAAATTAGACGTGCATTATTCTTTTTAAGTCTCTCTTGTATCCGCGAGAGAAAATAATTGAAGGAAAAAGTTGTAGCGCTTTTTGTGAATTTTTTAAAATATAATTTCATTCGGAACCTGTCTGCCCTCTGGCCCTCAAAGTGGAATGATAAGATTCATTATTGGGCCTCGGTCTGTTTGTCTCGATAACCCTCGAGACGGGAGCCGTGTGGAGACGTCACCTGCAGGTCGGCGAGGGACGGGCGCGGGTACTTTCGGCGGGCCAGGTTGAGCGGCACCACCTTGCTCTTGAGCAGGAAGGCCGGGCTGTAGCCGGCCAGCAGGTTGAAGTTGTACATCCACGAGGTGGAGGCGGCCTTGAAGACGTTGCACCAGACGAGGCGGTGCGGGCGCTCCACGAAGAACTCCCAGGGGTTGGCGCGGTGCAGCGAGTCGTTGCCGGGCTGGTCGAGGCCGTAGGTGGCGCAGTTGAGCTGCAGGTGGCGGCGGCGCGCGGCCATGCGCGCCGCGGCGCCCTGCATCCACGCGGCGTCCGCGCCCCCCGGGTCCTCGTCGTCGGCGGCGGCGGCGCCGTCCGCCTCCGGGTCGGCGCCCGCCGCCAGCCCCGGGCCGTCGCCAGCGCCGCCGCGCCCCGTCTTCTGCTCCACTTTCTGCGCAAGCCACCACACACAGGCATTCATAACAGCCCCTTCCTTGATTTCTGCGTATCGTCGGGCGCCCTGGAACGTTCAAGCAATCGAAAGCACTATCGATCTCGTGCGCGTGCGCAGTTCGCGTTTTGCACCGTGTTTGTGCATCTGCGTATGCGCCAAAGATCGACATTGCAGTACATTCATTACAGTCCCTTCCGTGATTTCTGCGTATCGTCAGGGAGTTTGGGCGCCCTGGAACGGTAAAGCTATCGAAAGCACTATCGATCTCGTGCGCATGCGCTGTTCGCGTTTTGCACCGTGTTTGTGCATCTGCGTATGCGCCAAAGATCGACATTGCAGTACATTCAAAACAGTCCCTTCCTTGATTTCTGAATATCGTCGGGTAGTTCTGGCGCCCTGGAACGTTAAAGCAATCGAAAGCACTATCGATATCATGCGCATGCGCAGTTCGCGTTTTACAGTGTTTGTGCATCTGCGCGTTCGCAGAAGATCGATATTGCAGTCGATTGCCGCCCGATAAAACGTGCACAATCTCTCTAATGGAAGACAGCTTTGGCAACGTAGGTTTATTAAGAGAGCCGGCTTGCTACTTGTTTGCCATGTCTCGCTGTATGTGGCGAAATCCGGAAGGCGGTGCAAAATATAGTGAGACAATGGCGGCGAAGCCGTCGAAAGCCGGCTCTCTTAATAAACTCTTAAATAAGTTGTCAAAGATGCCTTCCATTATTTCACCCTTGAATAATGCCAATAACACTTCATCAGCGTTCCCGCAATGTCACTTTGCAGGAGGACCATTTTATTCCGAGCGGAGCACTTTATGTCGCAACAAGAGACAATTGTTTTACTCCATTTACCGGCTTTCTTTGAAAGTACATTTATTTCCTTGACATTATTTCTTGACTAAACTTAAAATGACTATTTAGGCACTTTTCTTGACCACCGATGATATGAGGGTTGACTAGGTAGTAGTGTTTAACATAAACCAAGGTAATGTACAGAAATAAATATGCCCTTAATAGGCATCGGAATAAAACGAAGGAATATGTAACCAAAGGGAAGCCGATCAAAAGTGAAAGCAAAGGTCTCTCAGTTAATTTATTCAAAAATTCCCGGAAGACCCGTACATTGAAAAGTAACCTTTAACATAGGATGTCCTACCAGAATTTGTTGTTCGTGAATTGGAGTTTCATATTGTTTTATTTTATGTCAAATATTTTTTTTATTTGTGATCATCTCGCAAAAAATATGAAGGTCTTTGCCTCTTATAAGTTACAATGTAGCAAATTGCTGATTTGATCGGTTGTTCCCATCTCCGAAATTAACAAGAAAAGCAAAAGCAACAGAGATTCAATTTCTTCTTTTGGCTACAATTCTCAGACAAATAATACGTATCAAAGGAAACAAAGAGGACATTAAAGAAGTGAAATATAAATGAATAGCAATCAGGCGAAATTAAGAAAGAGACCTAGTACAAGATGGATGTGTGGTAGAAAAACCAACGTAGAGAGAATAGTTGAGACAAACTACTAAAAAATAGGAAAGGAAAATGTGAAGAGCTATTTCCTGTGATCCTTAGAATGCAAACTCGGTAAATATTGTGACGTCATGGATACTCACAGCGACCACAGACACAGAGCTTTCGTATAACAAATATATTTATTAACAAGAAAACAAAACAAATATATACACTTAATAACCTACTTACACCCTAGCTCTGATAGACCTACTATCCCCTGATCGCGGGAGCGATCCAAAACCCGATTGAAGATGGTTTTGATTGTGGCATTCGCCACTCCTACCTTTGAAGCACGCACAAGTCCTAGCTTCCGTGACCGGATGTCACGCTGGGACACAAAGTCCGTTCTGGCGCACCAACGGCTGGTTTGCCTCGATCGCAGGAGCGATCTTATCCGATTGAGAATCGGCATGAATCGTGGCACTCAACCACTCTTCACCTCGGAGCACGCACACAGCATCGCTCCCCCGTGACCGCAGTCACCCAAGGACATAAAGTCCGCAGGCTTCGTCAACTAATGACTCCAGCCTCGCGAGCCTGGCTCGCATATGCACCGTCTTGGCGCTAAGTTTTGTGCACACGCACGAGGTTCTCCCACTGTCTCCAGAACCTGCCTACTGGCTCCGTACACTCTGTTATATAGGCGAGGCCCATGTGACCTCCTACGTCACGCCACCCCCTCGCTTGTTATAACAGTGAAAAGCTTCTATAAGCCGGAAGACACCCAAAGCCTTGTGTCTCCCGTCTCCGCGTTCTTCCCTTTACGGAAAAACCCTACTTCCTGTGGAGAGACTAATCCGCAACCAAGCGTCCCCAAATAGATGCCATGAGGCACGCTGGCTAATACGTTACAATATTAAGAACTGTGAAAATGAATTATATTTTCATTACTTAAGAAAATTTTCAAATATGTCTGAATTACATTATTGTTAGCTGCGTTCCGTACAGCGTATTTGTATTGTGAAAACAATACTTTTAACCAAGTTACATATAAATTTCATATCCATTGCAGATTTGAAATGCATCTCTTCCGATGATAATCAAGTTTGAGGCATTTACTTATTAATACTGCAATTTCCTCGTCGTGGTTGTAAGGTGAATATGATGCGTATAAGAATTGCAATACCCACAAATATATTATTTTTCGTGGTAAGCATTAATGAAAAATGAGCGTTGATGTTCCGACATTCAACTTGTTATGAAAAGTTACACATTGTTACTCTTGTCCAACATATACGTTACCGTCAACTACGCAGTAATTCAGGAACTAATTAAAATTGATACCCGCGTGCAACGCTGGCATATTCGCGTTGAGCCCAGAAACCGGCGGGCGCAACTCTTTCTCCACAACGCAAACTTTTAAGGGGCCATAAACTCTCAAGATACGTTCTTGCTTTTCTCACGAATGTGTGTGTTGACAGCTTCGCATTAAAAATTGAAACGAAAGAAACCTGTATTTTCTTCAGCATACAAGCTCGTTGAATGTATGCTAAACTTCTAAGAGGGATTCTGCAAGCAATTTTGTGGTGCAAGAGCTTGTTATCATTCGAAAAATTAGAAGAGTCCAAACTGCAGCAGTTGTGAAAAACCGGCTGCCGAAATAAAAATAAATTGGCCTGTGGTCAAGCAATTTACCAAGACTGTATTCTCGGAACCATACAATCGGATATACTTATTAGAATAAATAATAATTAACACAGTTTTGATGAAAAATGAAAATTCCATTGGGTAATAGTGAACCAGTGCGAGTGAGAGAGAGTGGAAAACAAATAGGAGTAAAAGATAAGAGCAGAGATAACATTGAATAATTAGAATTTCACTAATTAATTGTTTTCAGTGAAGAGCTGAGAGGCTTATCTGGTTTAGCCAGTCTTCTTTAATCGTTTAAAACGATATATCGTGTTTTTTTATTTTGTTTTTTTAAATTTTTATTATTATTGGTAAGGTTTTTTTTCACTATAAAATCTCGCTGTGAACGGTTCCGTGTCCTAGACAACTGCCTAGGAGTTCGTGCTAATAGTAGCTCTCGCGTTTGCTTAATCGATTTCAAAAGAAACTCGATAACCGAGTGCTGCCGCCCATGTTGAGTTGACACTACCTGTGCCAGAAGAGACGTCCCTTAGCTGAATAATTATTTAGTAAATTTCTCCTTTTCGGAAATTATCTTTTTGAAAATTATATACAAGGAAAATTTACAGTCAAAAAAGAAATAAATACTATATAATATAAATTTGCAATATTAAATGAATTGTAAGTAAATCACCCAGTTATACTTTCCTTTGAATTCTTACCAGAACAAAACAAAAATGGTTTGATTGTAAAATATATTATAACTGGTGAAAAAATTTTGAACAGTCAAATTTGAAAGAAACTTTTAGACATTTGAACAAAATAAAATAACTTGCTTAGGTATCCGTACGTTATGTTGTAAGAGAAATGACAGGAAATTTAGAGTTAGATGGTTGGGAAAAGAAGAAGAAAAAACTGCGAAATATCATCACGCCTGGAAATGCATTTAAGACACACTCACACACACTTAAATAGGACCAGAAATGCACACTCATTGTTTTGAAAGATGCACACTGCACTCCATGTGCTGCTTGGGGAAAACACACCCAAGACACACGAAAATGTCGCCTCGTGGCTGGAACCGTGCGCTATTACAAGAGTTCTTCCTTTCTGAGAAAAGACGCTACATATACAAAGAGACGAACACCACACCCTACTCTCGATTCTTGCTCTCACAGCGCATTGTAATTAAACTCTCTAAACTTGAAATGACGTTTAGCTGATTAACTGCGTCGTTGTGTGTGTCTATGTGTGTGTGTGTGTGTGCATCACACATGTCTTTCAACCGTAAGTTGGACTTTGTTTCATCTCCAGAGTATTCTTTGAAATTTTGATTACCAGAACTGTGGAGATGGTTGATTGGGTTTTTGATTCTTGTGATAGAAATGTAGTTTTTGTAGTCTGATGTAAAAGGTCACAATGAATGTTATAACAAATACACTAAACTGTGGAACAGTTTTGCTGTTTTGTTTACAACATTTTTCGATCAGAGTGTGTTATCTTTCTGAATTCCAAGTCGAATCCCCCCTCCCCTGTGAAGGATCAAATGCTTCATTAGTCACCCGCCTACATTGCAACGTAACAGCTACGATGAAAAATTCGAAAAGCGAATCAATTTAATGCCGGCGATTTGTGTCTGTTGTAAAAATAACGAAAGCACATAGGAAGGATGATTTGTAATACTGTCCCAAGATTTCATGTAAAGATTTTTGCTTGTGTGATCCTGACTGCTCTCTTTTTAAATCACCCTCTCTTCAACAAGCGCGATGTGGGGCCGTGTGGTTGGCCGCACTGGAGGGCAATGCGCAATGCCACAAAAACGCCCGTCTCTTTGCGCGGTGTCTTTGTCCGTGTCGAAGTCGCGTGCAAGCACATTCGCAGGAAGTCGAACTAAGGACAAAGCCCAGCAAGG